AATTAAATAAATAATATAATATATATATATATATATATATATATATATATATATATATATATATATATATATTTTCTTATTTCAAAAATATGAAACATTATTTTCAAAAAATTATGAAAATTAATTTTTCTTAATATAAATGTAAATGATAATATTTTTAAAAATATTCTAAAAAACAAAAATATGTCTTATTTAGTAGTTTCTAATAGAACTAGAAATCTTATTCTCAGTCCTAAGATTAATGATATAGATAATTTGAATTAAACAAAAAACTATACTAATTAAAATAGACTAACTCATCTAGGTATTTTACCTACAATATAAAATTAAAAAGATAATTAAATTGCTTTGAAAATAAGTATTATTTTTTTTTTATATATATTTTAATTCTAAATTTAAATAAAGATTTTAAAATAAAACTTACTCTAATTTTTTTAATTGTATTTGTAATTATTTCTTTAGCAATAATAGTTGGCGTTTTGAGAAGTTTAGGATATTTAAGATCAAGCTAAAAGATTAATTAAAATAGACAATAAAATTAAAAAGATGAAAATAATTTTGACAAAAAAGTTTAACCTTAACAAAGTTAAAATAAATAAAATAATAATTAGGATAAGAATAAAAAAGAAAATAACAAATTAATTATTTAAGTAGAAGGCTAATAAGCTAAATAATAAAAAAAATCTGAAGTTAATAACGACAATAAAATTAATTATAATTTATAATAAAATAAAAATGATTAAAATTAGTAAAATAACTAAAATTAAAATAAATAATATTAAGACTAAGAAAAATAATAAAAAGAAAATAAGTCTTAGAATTTAAATAAGTAATATTAAAATTAAAATTAAGCATAAATTAATAATTAATAAAATGAATAAAATTAAAACAACGAAAAAAAGTAATAAGAAAATTAGGCTTAAAATTAAAATTAGTAATTAATAAAATTAAAACGACGAAAAAAAAAATATAAGATAATAAGGCTAATAGTTCTATTAAGTAAAATTAGGATTAAAATTAAACTTAAATTAATAATTAATAAAACTAAAATGAATAAAATTAAAAAGGTGAAAATAGTAATAAGAAAATCAGGCTTAAAATTCGATTAAGTATAATTAGGCTAAAATTAAAATTAAGCATAAATTAATAATTAATAAAATTAAAATAATGATAAAAGGTAATAAGAAAATTAGACATAGAATTCTATTAAGTAAGATTAGGATTAAAATTATAATATTAACTAAATTTAAATTTAAAATTAAAACGATGAAAAACAATAAATCAGGTTTACAATTTTAATAAGCCAAATTAGGATTAAAATTAGACTTAAATTAATAATTAATAAAATTAAAAAGATGAAAAATAATAATAAGAAAATCAGGTTTAGAATTTTAATAAGTAAAATTAGGATATAAATTAAAATCAGGATTAAATTAATAATTAATAAAATTAAAATGAATAAAATTAAAAAGATTAAAAATAATAATAATAAGAAAATCAGGCTTAGAATTTTAATTAGTAAAATTAGGATTAAAATTAAAATTAGACTATAAATTAAACTTAAATCTAAAATTAAAAGACTAAAAGTAATAATAAGAAAATCAGGTTTAGATTTCTAATAAGTAAAATTAAGATTAAAATTAAAATTAAAATTAAAATATAAATTAAAGTTAAAATTATAATTAAAATTTATAATATTAAAATTAATTATATTAAAACGATAAATAAAACTTCGAAAAAAAATAATAAGAAAATCTGGCTAAAATTTCTTAAAATTAAATGAGGAGGATTAAAATTAAATTATAAATTAAACTTCTTTAGTTTAAAATTAATTAAATTAAAACTTAAATTAGAATATTTAAAATGAAAATTAATAAGAAAATTAAAATAAAAACAACGAAAATTAGATTTCGAAATAAAAATACAAATAGTAAACTGAATAAATATTAATATAAAATAAAAGTTAAGATTAGAATTAAAATTAATAAAATTAAAATTTAATCTAAATTTAGAATAAAAATTATACTTAGAATTAAAATAATATTCTTAATTAAACCTAAAGTTAAAATTAGTTAAATTAAATCATAAACAGGAAACCTTGATTAATCTTCTAAAAATAATCCTAAAAATTTTTAATAAGATTGCTCTTAAAAGAATTTAACAGTAATAAATAAAACATACTAAAACTAATGTTTAAATTTTGCAAAAATATGAAGTAATCATTAAAATATGTTTTTAAATAAAAAAGATGTAAAATGTAGTATGGAATTTAACTAAATCATATATAAGATATAATAAGTTTTTATGAATGTAATAGATATAAAGAACTATAAACTATCAATACATAAAATTTGTAAGTAAATGTTTGATAAAAAATATATTTAAAATATTAAAAATAAGTTACATTAATACTTAAATTTGGAATATTTATTTGAAAAGATTTTATAATTAAACCTATATTTTAAAAAAAATTTTATAAGGTAATTTATATTAAAGTTTACGTAACATAAAATATATTTATATTAGGGATAGTATGCCTGATTCTTAAAGAACTCAAATATTGACTATAGCAATAAAGTTTATAACTTACTAATAATATCATTATATAAAATTAGTTAAGCATATGAGAAAATAATATATATATTCGGTATTTAAAAATTATTTATTATTCTTATTAAAAATACTAAATGAAAAGTTTAACGAAAAGATAACTTAAATTAAGAATTTTAGAAAATGTTAATATTATATTAAAAAAAGGAGTAAATTTATAGAAAATTTATTTTTTTATAAGTAAAATTATAATATATATATATATTTATATATATATATATTTATATATATATATATTTATATTTAATATTTAATTAGTTTTAATTGTATATTTAAATTTTTTTATTAATCAATTACTTTTCAATTATATTTTAATATTTTAAAAGTTTAAATTATTAAAATTCTTATTTAACAGTAAATAAAAAAAAAAATTATTTATAGATTTAAAAAAAAAAAAAAATAGAGAAAAAGGTTTAGATATTTAAATTTCAGAATAAACAATTGACTTTGACTAAATGTTTTAAAGAATTTTGAATTTAAAATGTTTAGTTGGATTTAATATAAATTTATAGTAATTAAAATTTAATAAAAAAAATATATAAATATAAAATATATAATATAATATATAATATAATATATATATATATATATATATAATTTTATTCTATTTCTATTTAATATTGTTTTGATACTTATTATTAAAACGTAAATTACTATTTTAATGAACAGTTATAATATTCAATTATGAATTCTTTAAAATATTTTATAGAAGTTTAAAAAAGTAGATTTTCAATTTAATTTAGGTAAAATTTTAAGTTTAATTTAATTAATTTTTAAGTCATTTAGTAAATTAGAATAATTTTACTAAATTTTATAATAATTGATAATAAATAAAATCTTAAAAATATATTTATATTTTATATATATTTCTATATATTAATTATAAATAAATTATAAATTAATAATAAAAATGTAATTTTTTTTTTATTTATTAAAAATAAAATTTATATTTTATATCATTTTTATTATAATCTAAATAAATTTGCATACTTTTTCCATTCACTATAAACATCATCAACCTTATTTCCATAATGAAAAACTTAAGATTTTATAATTCCTTAGAAAGTTTCATTAAATTCCACATATTCAACATTTTATCCATCTTCAATTAACTTAACATCATTTTGTAATTCTAACCTCCTTGGTTATTTATTTTCAATTGCTATTTTTCTAATTTAAAGCATTTAGTCATTAACTTAACTATATTTGTTAAAAAACTCACTTCCTTTAACATTATCTCCTATACTTTTATAAACTTATAATCCCTTTAAAAAAAAATATATAAATAACAAAGAAAATTTTAAATAATTCAACAAGTAAAAATTTTCCAATAACTTATTTCCCAATAGTAGATATTTTATTTCTATCTAAATGAATAAAAACATAATCATTATCATTTTTTTTAGTTACTTCTAATCTCACTAATCCTTCTCCTGCTTCTAACAAAACCTACATAATAGCATATCCAGCTAAAATATGTGATTGTCCCCATTTTTTAGCATTTGGATCATAATATTCGAGCCCTTTAATTGCACTATAGATAATCTCGTACCAAGCTATATAAACAATATCTTATTATTCTTCTTTAGAAAATTCAGGAATTAAAATATCAAGACATTCTTGGAAACAAGATAAATATAAAGCGACTGAATCTGCCTTACATTCTTCGTATCCTGATGATATTTCTCCGAATTTAGAATGCCATGTTTCGTTTACATCATAGAGAGTATTTATATTTTCATTAGTAAATGGATTTTTTAAATTTTTGTCAAAATTAAGTTTTCCGTCTTTGTCTTTTTGCAATAATTTTCCTGTGCCATGCCCTATTTTTTTTTTTTTTAAAAAAAAAAAAGTTAAATAAAAAAATTTAAACCTAAAAGTTCGTGTAAAGCCACGATCAAAAATAAAGAAGGTTTATAATATTTGCACATTAAATTGGCATTTTCTTAAGTCGAAAAAATTATATTTTCTAATTTGGGGGTTCCATATATATTTTAAAGGTTCACATTTTTGAATCCTTCTGTTTGTCTAATATCATCATAATTAGGAATGTTTATTCCCACAGGAGTTCCTGAACAAGCAAAAGAGAGAATTTCTAAAGAAGTAAAATCAGGTTTGGTGAATTTTTCGACTTCAAATTCTTTAGGCCAAGGTAAATGAGTTATTAATTTTTCGGCTTCTTCAACAAGTTTTTCTAATTTTACTGATTCAAATTTATTTACTATAGATACAAATCCTTCAAATTCGGCTCGTACTTTCAATGGATCTAAGTATGATTCGATAAAACCTATTTTTAAATATTATTAGTTTAGTAGTTTTTTTTTTATATATATATTATTATATTTATACCAATATTAGTTTCTATAATGGGTCCTTTGTCTTTTATCCAAGCTCTTTAGGAATCTTTGTGGTATTCGTTATTACCAGAATTGAAAAATTTCAAGTAGGAAGTTATCATTTCTTCTTGGATTTTATTTTAACAATATGAGATTGATTTAGATAAATTTTAGTATATTTATTCCATAAATGGAGCAAAGTCTCCATATGTGAGTACTACTTAAACATCTTAGAAAGTGTATTTTTATTATGTTTACAAATATTTAGAAACTGAAGCTATTAGGATTTCAAATTCTTTTTCTGAATGTTTTAAAAGACGAGTATTTAAAGGGGAAATATTGATTTCTTGTTATTCCATAAATTTATTAATTAATTCGGCTTCTTATTAAGTAATATTAGAAGAGTAATATGAAGAAATACCTATATTAATATTAAATATATATATATATATATAAATATTTATATATTTTTAAAAAAAATATATAAATTTTATTTTCTTTTTACCATTATTATTTATAAAATCAATGTGATAATAAGGCTTTTCGTAATGATAGAGTTCAAAGTTAGTTTGATCCCAAATAAAATCGAAGTTTTGTTTCTCTAATTAATAGGCTTTGGTACTTTAAATAAATTAAAGGAACTTTTCTTTACTTATTTCAGGTATAAATTTAGAATCGCCAAAGCTTTTATAATTTCCACAATTTTGGAAAAAAGAAGCAATATAAACAAAAATTTGATTTATTTATAAATCAGAAAAATTAATTGTTTTTAACTTTTGTTCGATTTCTGAGGTAGATTCTTATATGAAAATTTTTTAAAATAAATAAAATAAGGCTGGAGATTCATAAGAACGTTAAAAATAGCAAATCTTACAACCAGACCATGAAGCACGGGTAAAATAATAAGAATATAGCTTTTCTTTTAGTGTTAGATCATTGAACGCTTACTTACAATCAACTTTCATTATTTAGGTTATGGTTGGAATAGTTGGAATTTCCATTTTTTTGAAAAATATCTTTTTAGATAATTATATTAGTTAAGGGATTTTTTGATATAAAGTATTCAAAAATTTATTTATCTTTTCTATTTATTAATTTTATTTAATATTTTAAAAATAAATAAATTAAAAAAAATCATTTTTTGTTATATAAATAATTAATAATAATAAATATAAAGTATATAAATGTTTATTTTTAATCTTTTACATTGTTAAAAACAATTTTAATAAATAATATATATTATCCGATAAATCAAATTATGTAGAGCCGTAGTGAGAAAAATAATATTTATTATTAGAATTATTAAATTTGTTTGTAAGAAAATAAATAATATTAACTAATGAAAATACAATATATCTAATAAATAACATAAATAAAATTTAAATAAAACTAAAATTAATTTAAAATTTACATAAAATTTCTAAAAAATTGTAAAATAAACATTTCTAATAATACTCAAGAAAGATATAATTTTTTATTTAAAAAAAAATATAAATATATGTTTTTAAAAACATTAAATAATAAAAAATTATATTAATATTAATTATTTTCCAAAAAAATTATATAATAAATAAAAAAAGTTAAGAAAATATATAAATTAAAATATTATTGGATATAATACAAATTATTTATAAATTTATATTTATTAAAAAATATTTATAATTATTTATTAAATTTTTAATACTTAATTAAACTTGAGTATAATATTACAACCAAAAATATAAATAATTTTTTAAGATTTTAATTAATTTTTTATATAAATGTAAAAATATATATAAGTAATTAAATCTTCGATATATAATTAACTTTAGTTTTATTCTTTTTAAAGAAAAAAAATTAAACTTAATAAAAATTAAATTTTAATAAAATTATTTAATAAAAAAAAAAACAAAAAACTTAATTTTAACCATACATTTATAATAATTTAAAAAATATTAATAAATAAAAAGATATTTATATTTTAGTAAATATGGTATTGTATTTTTTTAAAAAAAAATATTATAATAAAGCAAATCTTATTTAAAATTTATAAATAAATTTCATAATATAATTGAGAATAGTTTATAATCAGACTTATAATATATAATGTTCTTAATTCTATATTTATAATATTTTGTATAATTTTTTTATTAATTTTAAAAATAAAAATATTATTATAAATTAAATTAAAAAATTAAGTTTTGTTTTCTAATAAAAATAATCAGAAAATTATAATTAAATAGTCAAATATTAAAATAAGTCAACATATAATATTCATAAAAACATTTATAAAATAGGTAACTAATGTTGTTTAATTAAAAACAATTTAAAAGAAGATTTTTTTTTGAAAAAAGAATTTAAAAAATAAAATAAATAATAAATTATATTTTAACCATTTTTTTTTTTTATATTAATAAAAAAAAGATTAAAACCAATTATACTTATATCCAGAAACAATTTATGAAAACAAATAAATATTATTAGTTTAGAATAAAGAAATATAAAATTAAGTTAAAAATATTTAGTTATATTTAAAATTTTAAATAAATAAATCAGGATTTAATATAAATGTATAATTCAAATTAAAATGTAAATTCAGATTTTAAAATTTCATAAATAGATTATGAATAATAACCATTTGAAAGTAAAAATGTAAAAAAAACAAAGGAATTCATACAAATTTTTATTAAAAATAAATAAATCTATTTTATAATATAATAAGAAAAAAGTCTTAGGCATAAAATACTTAAGTAAAAGTATATAAATTCCGATTTATTAATAAGTTATTGAAGAAGAATAGTCATCAGCTTAATTGGATAAGAGTATATAATAAATAAAAAACAATTTAAATTAATTACATGAACATTCAGCAAGAAATTGTAAAGGGGAAGAAAATATAGATAATAAATAAAATGAAAATTAATATTAATATTAGGAAAGATAAGTAGAAAAAGAAAATAATGTATCAATAAATAAAATAGATACAATAAAGAACAAATAATAAACTATCAATAAATAAATTGAAATAGTCTTGCTAATAATAATTTTAAGTTTCTCCTGATATTTTTATACATTTAAGGGTTGGGTCTATTAGTGAACATTATAAAGTAGGAAAAATATTAGGAGAAGATGATTTTGGTTAAGTTTATAAAGTAACACATAAAACTACAGATAAAGTAATGACTATGGAAACATTAAAAAGATAATCTTTAATAAAATAAGAGGAAGAATAATTATTTTCAGAAATCAAAATTTTAAAAAACTTAGATCATACAAATATTTTAAAATTAATAGAACTTTTTTAAGACAATAAAAATTATTATGTAATAACAGAGTAATATTAGTATGATAATTAATAAAATATATATATATATATATTTTTTTATATTTAATTTGAAATCTAAAATAAAATAAAAAAAAATTTGGAAAAATAAAAAATAATTTTATATAAAATAACTAAAAAATAATAAATAAAATAGGTAAAAATAAAATATTATATATATATATATATATATATATATATATATATATATATATATATATATATATATATCTAATTTTTTTTTTCCTTTATTTATAATTATATAGGTTTTGTTCAGGAGGTGATCTATTAGCAAAAATAATATATTTTAAGATTTATACTTAAAAAATGGCAGCTGATTTTATCAAATAAATTCATTCATTTTTAGTTTATTGTCATGCAAATAATATATTACACAGAGATTTTAAACCTGAGAATTTACTTTTTGATAACGATTTTAGAAATGCTAATTTAAAAGTAACATATTTTGCAAACTCAATAATTCTAGATATATCTAAATAAATTAATTATGTATTATGAACTGTATTTAAATTTTTGTATTTTTCTAATATTTTTGATATATATATATATATATTATTTTTATTTAATTAAAAGCCTTATCAGCTCCTGAAATAATAGGTATTTTTAAGCAATTTGTATTTTATATATATTTTAAAATTTTTGATTATAAAAAGAAAAAATTATGATGAGAAGTGTGATATATGGAGTTGTGGAATAATTTTATATGTAATTCTCTGTGGATATCCACCTTTTAACGTTAGAAATAAAGAAGAAATATTAATCAAAGTTAAAGCAGGGAAATTAAAATTTGATCAATAAGATTGGGATAAAATATCAAATGATGCAAAAAATTTAATTATTAAAATGCTCAATTATGATCCTAAAAAACGTATTTCAGCTTAATTAGCTTTAATCGATTAATGGGTTTAGAAAAATGCATAATCTATTCCTATAAATCAAAGGTGTTTTAAAATTTAGATATGTTTTATAGAAGTACAAAAATAAAATAGGCTATTAATATATTTATTATTAGTTAGATAGTTAATTAGAAAAAAAATGAAGAATTATAAATATCGTTTAAGTCATTAGATATAAATGGGGATGGAATGTTGAGTAAAGAATAACTTATATATGGATATACTTAAGTTTATGGAGATAAAAAATAAACAAAAGATTTGGTAGAAAAAATTATAGAAGATATTTATTAAAATAATACAGGAAAAATATATTTTAAAGGTTTAATATAAAAAAATAAAAATTATATAAAAATATATAAAAATATATTTAAAAAAATATATATATATATATATATATATATATTTATATATATATATATTTTTATATTTATTTAATTTTAGTCTTTTTAATATCATCATTTAATAAAGAAATTTTTTTTTTAAAATAAAATATTGAAAAGGCTTTTTGGTTATTTTTTGATACTAATGGAAGTGGATATATTACAAAAGAGGAATTGAGTAATATAATGCTTAATATAGAAACTGATTTTTGTAATGAAATTTTATTGGAATGTGATATATAAAAGAATGGATAAATATTTTTTAATGATTTTTTCTATATACTTATTAAAAAAAACCCTTAAAATAAATAAGTTTTCTTTTGATAAAATGTTTGTATAATTTAAAATATAAAAATAAATTATTAATATAATATATATATAAATATATATATATATATATATAATATACATATATATATATATTTATATATCAATTTTATTATTATTAACACTTTTCTTCATCCTTTTATTATTCCTCTTCATCTACAAAAATAGATTTATGAATTTATTTATTATGTTATTAATTATCAAACTTTTAAATTTCAATATATACATCTTTATTATATTTATTATTATTATCATAAGTTTACTTATTAGTATTATTATTATTTACTTAATTTTTTTATTTTTTTTATTCTTATCGATTTTAAACAAATTAAATATCATTATCATTTTCTTTTTAACTTTCATTTTCTTACTCTTCTTATATTTAATAATTAATTTCTTAAGTCTGGAAATTTTAATTTTTAGTATATAAATTTTCATTTTAATTCTGAAAATACAACTAAATACTTCCTGTACCTTACAAAATAGGATCATCTTTATCAGTTATATTACTAAAAATTTTTTAATTTTACTACTTTTCAAAGATAATGGTTCTGAATTCATGTTCCTTGAAATTTATTCCAAATAAATGCCATCTTCGGATTAATTTTTATATTTCTATTTTAAAACTCTTTATTTTTTAATTAATTTGGTAGGCTACCTAATGACAGGAATTTTGGTGATTTAATTATGACTATTTTCCTATTAACACATGTTTTAATCATTTCTATAAATTTACTTAAATATTTTAATTTTATATTTATTTATTTTATTTTCTGTATTATTAATCGAGTTTGCAACACCTGATAATTGTACATTACTAGTTTTTTATTATTAATTTTCCGTTTAAGAGAATTCATCATCATTATTATTGAGTTTCTAGAATTTGACCCAATATATAAATAATAAAATTAATATTGCAATTGAAAGTAAAGTAATAGCAGCTTAATAATACGAGTCATAATTTTATTCTATATTTACAACTACTTATTTATCAGAAAGAAAAATACTATCAATATCTTCATATACAGTAGCCGAATTAAAGCAATTGCACACAATTTAATCATCCAAAACGGCAAAATCTTAACACATTTCAAAAGCCGTACTTTCATAAGAAACTAGAGAAAGGCATATAGGATTTATTAAAGATTTAGCGTTTTTCACATCAAAAATGAATTAGTATTTCAAAGGCGTTTCAGTAATAATTTCTTCTATGCGTTCTAAAGGATTTCCTGTTTAAGTTTTCATATATTCTGAGGTTTTATATTTGCCATAATTATAATCATAATCCCATACTTTATATAAAACAAAAGGGAATATATTTCTTTGATTTCTAAATAAAGTTGTATTAGTGTATTTATGTGGATTTTTTTTATATGCTAATTATGATACACGCAGTTTTCTTCCTAGAGATTCATATTCAGAAGACAAAAAAAGCATATTTTTGGTGTCTGCTTTGGTGTTAAAGTTATCACTTTCGATGAATTTTAAAACTATTAGTTAAGGATCACGAGTTTCTTGGTTTAAGAGTTGCATTTCGGTTGTTACGTAGTGAGGGTATTTAGTTATTTCCCGGTCTAGAATCTATTTTATTATGTCATTGAGGCTTTAAATGTTTGTAAAGATATCGTGGCGATTAATAAGGTTGGTAGGGTTGTTTAGTTATCTCGAAATGGATTTCATTATGTTCAATATCATTAATTCGGCGTCTTTGAAATCCTCGATTTCGACGTTTTCCATGCCGATGATTTCTTATATACGACTTATGTTTTCTTTGATATATTATTATTTTAAAAAAGTGTTATCGGTAATTAATTATGGTAATTCGTTCCTTACGAAGCTTTCTATATAAGTTTGAGATTAAGAATTTGCTTAAGAAACTAATAATTAGGAATATATTCTTTATATAATTCTATCATAGATTTCAGTACTTACAGCAGAACAGTCAAAAAGTGTGTAATCTTCAGTACAATAACATATTTTTTCATATTCTTTACATTTTCCTTGATTATTACAATCTGCATCTGTTTTACAAATAGATTGATTTTTTATATAGATTTACATGAAAATTTAATAGAGAATAAATTTGTCCGCAAATTTATAAAATTAATATATATCAAAGGCTATGTCGTTCATTGATTTTTTATATTCGCTCACATTTAGTTATATTTTGACTTAAAATTATACAAATTTCAAGTTTTAGCTTATTACGGTGTAAACTAAGTATTACTAACCTTCATGGAGCATAAATTTTTCGGATCTCTAAATTTAATTAGAGTCGTTATCAATATTGAAGAGATTTTTTTAATTGTTGAGGTCAAATTTGGCATAAAGGTAATTTTTTTTTAAATCATAATCTTATTATAACTGTATTTTGGATTTGATTTCGTTATAGTATTCTTATTTGCTATTATATAGGTAAATTGTTAAAATCGGGTTAGCATTTAAATGAACTATTGCAGCTTTTATGTTCATTTCGAAAACTGTGGATAGCGGTTCTCCCGAAGTTTCTTTGAAAGTAATTAGAATTTCCGGAAGACACCTTTTATAGTCAGAACTTAAATAGTAATATTTTTCACATTTATTACATATCTAATCACTGCATTAACTACATAATGGGTCGATGGCTTCTCTGCATAAAATGCATTAAAAAAGTGAGTTTTTATACATCAAAAGTCTATCGTTTATACATTAGCAAGTGTAGTTAGTGTTTTCGTAATTGTCAGAACAGCTTTTACATTTCGCATCAGGGGTACATTAAATACATTTAGGATGTATACTGTTACAGTTTATGCATTTTTGGAATGTTTTTTCTGGTTCGGAGGTTAAGTAATATTCATTTGGAGTGCATTAAATACATTTTTTGGCTGTTTTATTGTAATGATAGGTATTTTGACACCATTAGCATACATTAACTTAAGTACAAATCATGCAATAGGGGTCAAAGGAAGTACATAAGAGACATTTTTCATTTCCTTAAGCGGTTCGGGGTTATATATAGGAGCCTTTAGGGCAAATGCAAGTATCTTTTCCAATTTCATCAGTTTTTTTTTAAAAAGTATCATAACATTTATCACAGAGTGTTTCACTTTTGCATGTATTGCATCTATTCATAAGAACATTACAAGCAACGCAATTTCCGCCCATATTAAGTTCAAAAGATTCACAATTCCTACACTCGCCTCTGCTTATTTGGAAATTTTTACTACATTTTAAACAGAAGTTAGGGCCGTCACATTATAAACAATTATTAATTAAATTAGAGCACATTTCACATATTTATAAATCTCCTTGTTTTACTAAAGCTCTGTCTATTTAACATACGCAAGAACCTGATACTAATATATTGTTATTTAGGCAATCTCCTGTGCAAATACCAGATTCATCAATACATTAAGTACAGTTTGTGGGACAGAGATAGCACAGCTTTGAAGAGGAAATATAATATTCGTTATCTTAGCATTTCTCACATTTATTGTCTATCATAAGTCGAAAATCGGGAAGACATTTTAAACACAATGTACTATCACAAATTTCACATTATGGGTATTTTAAACTACATAAATCGCATTAGCCTGAAGCATTTATAAGTACTTTATTATAGTTGCAGGAACAAAATTTGGTTATTTAATCTAAATAAAATCCATTTAAACATTTATCTTCGGAAACACAAGTTCCGGTTTCATCATTACATTGAGAACACTGGAAACACTAAAGGCATTTTAATTTGCCTTTTATATAATATTATCCAGGTAAGCAATTTCCACATGTATTATTGTCCATAAGTTTAAATCCAGTTTCACATTTAGTGCACAATGCATCTCTACACATAAAACAGTTTGGAACTTTTTGTTGACATAAAACACATTCGCCGTCTAAAATAAGTCTTAAAGCAGCCTAGCATATACATTCGGAATTCGAGAGGGTGAATCCTTTATCACAAGGACCTGTGCATGCTCCTGTTTCAATTGCGCAATTCATACAATTTGTATTACAGTTTGCACAAGCTTTCAAAGATGAAATGTAGTATTTATGAGCTCCACAGGGCTAACATGTATTGTTTTTAAATAGATAAAAGCCAGTTTAACAAACAGTACAATCATTAGAAAGTGTACATGCCGAACAATTTTAAGGACAAAGCTTACATGAGTTATCAGAAATGATGATATTTCCATTTATACATTGGCAGCCGAATTTATTTGGAGTGTAATTCGGGAGAGAGCATTAACTGCAGCCTGAAGAGGCACATTAGGTACATAAATAGCCGAATATTTCGGCACATGTTTGGCATTTTAATGTTTGCAAATTTACAACTTTATCACATGTACATTTTTTGCTAACTGCATCTTAAGTAAATGTAGAACGACATTTAAAGCAGCTTATTTCGTTACATTTAGCACAAAATTAATCTGCACAATTTAAGCATTTTTCTCCTAATCTATATTGTCCGATTGTACATTAGATACATGTAAAATTTGAAGACAAAACATAAGAATCAACACATGTATTACATCTTTCTATATTTGTAACTGTATCAAGAATACATTTAGAACCTATATTTTTATTTCTATTTTTTTTAAAAAAAGTTTTTTTTACATCCTTCAATTAATAATAAACATTCTTCACAATAACCTGATTTTACTATAAAATTTTAGGATACTGTGTCACATACACATTCAGAATTTACTAAAGAATAACCTTTTGTGCAAGAAAGACATACTTTAGAAGAATTACAAGTCAAACAGTTTAGATTTAAAGTACTACAGGCAATACATAAACCTAATTCTAAATAAAAGCCTAAAGCACAACCTAGGCATGTTTAAAAATTGCACATATTACAACCTATATTATATTTAGTAATGCATTTAACACATTAATTAACTAAAACATACCCTTCATCACATATACAACCTGAATCTATTTTAAAATTTAGTAAAAAATAAATAAAAAAAGTATAATACTTGTAAATCTAAAGGTATCAGAAACACATTTTAGGCATTAATTAAGATTACATTAGTAACAATTAGCATATTCTAATTAACATTTATTACATTATTTAGTAATAGGGTTATATATATCACCTTTTAAACATAAACAATACTTAAGGACTTTATCATATATTAAATCAGATGATTCACAAGTACATGAATCATTAAATATAGTTTTGACAATACAGAAACTAAAAACTTCGATTTAGCATTCAAGTCCGTCAGGTTATAAAATAGAACAGTTTACGCAATTGTTTGTGCCAGGTTTTATTCCTTATTTTTATGGAGTAGATGGACATCGAAAACATTTTTATCTATATTTCGACATCTTAAACATGTTCCCTTATTTTTAAAATTTTATTGATATGTTTTATATATTTATTTTTTTACATCACATGGTAAACAATTATTATTTTCGTCTAAATAAAAAGCACCTGAACATTAACATAACATAGAGTTTCCGTCTTCCCATACAATCTAAGTAAAATTTTTTTTACATTAATTGGGTTTACAGAAATATGTACCATTTATACAAGAATTACATTCAGTAGGACAAGTTGAACATGTTTCGTTTGTGGATTTGTTAGTAAATTTACGGTGATACAATCTAAACATGTGCCTGATGTAGGGTCTCTATTTAATAAAGGATCAGAACATGTAGATTATTAAGAACAGGTTAAATTTACACGGTCCCATTAATATTAAAGAGAACATTTTAAACATCTGAGTAATGTTGAAGACCAATAGTATCTTTAATGGGCACATTTAAAGCAGCCTGGCCTTGTTTTAATACTACTACATAATATTCTGGTATATGATTATACCAAAAATTCTTTAAATCTAATACATGATAATAATTAAGTATCCCAAAATCCATCACTAAATATATTTTTTTTTAATATTTATTTAAATATATTTTTAAGTACCAATTTTATACACATTAATCTTATGTTCGGCAATCATAGCATAAATTCATTTCATTCATTAGATATCCTGGCCTTTAACAACTTTAAATAGTTGGTGGATTACATATATTATTAGATAAAGTTCCTATACTAATTTTTTTTATGTATTTTGATAATGTTTTTTTTACCATATTTCACAATTTACTGCTAAGGAGCAATCAATACAATTGCCATTTACATATAAAAAGTTAGTTTGAATCTCGCATGCTTATATAACGTCTTGAATCTGGGATAAAATTAAATTGAAAAAATAAAAAAATATTGATAGAGTTAATACAAACATATTTTCTCTATATATAATTTTTTTTTAAATTCAAAAAATAAATTTTTCAATGTAAAAATTGATTTTATTTTTTTCAGAAATCAAATAAGTTTTTTTATAATAATGAAAAAATATAAAAAATTTAATATAAACTTATAATATTACCATGTTTTTTATATAATATTTATAATTTTAAACTATTCGTTTAATTTATATAATTAAATATAAATTTTTAATATATTTTATTATTTAATAAATAAAATTTTATAATATTTATTTTTTTCAAAATCATTTGTTTTTTAATTAAAATTTCAATTTTTCGTAAAAATATTTATTAGAATAAATATTTAAATTCCGCATATTTTAAATAAAAATAAAATTAATAAAAATTATAAAAAATGTAATTAATTAAAATAATAGAAAACCTTTATACAAAAGGTGAGATAAAAATGCAGGAAGAATAATATAATGAAAAAGTTTGGTAAGATTTGACATAAATTCTAAAAAAATACAATTAAATTTAATAAAAAGAAAACAATTTTAACGAAATTTCTAAAGATATATATATAGAAAACCTTAATTAAATATTTTAGTAAAAACATATAGTTTTAAAATAAGATCTTTCTGAGGATTAACTGATAGAAACAGGAATAAATATAAGTATAATTTCCTATTTATAAATAGCTACATAATTTTTAGATTATAATCAAGGTCCTTTTTCAATAAACTTTATTATTAGTTTATGTTCTCTTTTTAATAGATTTACGGATGTCATAGAAACTAATGAAAATTAAAAAATGAAAATATTCTGTCCAAGTATTAATAATTAATTTAATATAGGTTTCGAACTACAGAAAGTTGAATAAAGTAGTATTTTCGAGAAAATTTAAAATTTTTTAGGTTTAAAATAAAAAAAAGATATGTCCAAGGATTTAATTATTGAAAACTTATAATTTTAATATAAAAAATTAGTAGAAAATTATGATTTTTTAAAATAAGTTTTAGATTAAAACAATAATTGTATTTAAAATTTAAGAAATAATTAATTTTAAATTTAAAATAATGAGGAAGATTTCAAAAACTTTACAACGAAATAATCTATTATTAAATTTACGACTTATCCTAATAATACAGACGAAAATATTTAAGCGTCTTAAAATTTAAAAGAATATTCATTTAATAATTAATCTATCAATTTCGATTAATTTGAAATTCAAAAATTTAAATCAAATGATTAATCAACTATTACTTTAATTGATAATTTTTTTAAATGTGTAGATGATAGTAATAAATATTTTAGCAAAAGTTAAATTTCAAAAAATTATGATTCTTTTTAGTTTAAACAACCCTAATTTGAATTATTTAAATTTACAAATACAAATTAAGTAAATGAGTTGATAAAAAAAAAAAGATTTGGGAAAAAAATTTTTGAGTTTTTAGTTTATTCTTTACCAATATTTTTTATTTTATACATATAAGATGATAATGTATTTGAAAAATTGGCTTATAATATTCCGTTTTTAATTATTTTATAAATAATAAATAATCAATGAATTCATACTATATAACAATTATCTTTTAATTTTAGTTAATAAAAATATAAATATTTAAAGTTTTAATATAAAAAAATTAAATTATAAAATGAAATATAATGTTATATTTTTTATTTAAATATAATATTTATTCCATTAATTTAAAAAAAAAAAATCATCATAAAAATATTAAAAGAATAAAATGTTTATATTAAAACATATAAAAGTTTCTTTCTAAAAACATAAATATTTCTTTTAATTTTTTTAAAAATTATTCTTTTTTCAAACTTTTTATTTACTTTTCTTTAAAGAAGCATATATTATAAAACAAATATAAACTAGAATAAGTGCAAAGAGGATATGCATAGTAATATAATATATTTTAGAAAGAATATGTAAATCTCCGCAAGCATCATCATCAGAAAATGTTAATCCAAACACTAAAATAACTAAAACTATAAGTCCAACAATTGTAATTACTAAATGACTTAAATAAATAATTTTTTTTGAAGATTTTACTAAATAGAAAAAAAGAGTTATTAGCAAATAAAAAGCAAATAAAATAAAGTAAAAAACACCTATATCATGGGCCCAGTTGACAAAAGCTTAATTTTCACAATTGTAATATTTTTTATCATTTGTAAATGTCAAGAATAGAACTCCTAAAATAAAATAAACTATAGTGAAAATTATAAAACTAGGTCCTTATTAATCTGTTTTAGATTATGCCCATTGCCATAATGTTAAAGGATTTTCAATATCAATGTGGTTTTCTTAATTATTTGTAGTGTTCTAGTTTTCAGGTTGATTAAGTGGAACTTGTTCGTTTTTGTTCATTTTTTTGTATTATTATTTTTATTTTATTTTATTAATATTTTATTTTTACAACTTTTTTTTTTATTTTATTTTTTATAAAATATCCTTAATACTTTTTAATTTTTATTGTCTATAATATCGTTTTTAAAATATTTATTAAAAACGAGCTTTTTATAATATTATAAAATAAATTATTAAATAAAAAAATATTTTGTTATTTTTAATCAAATATATAATATTTTTTTTTAATGCGTTTTATGCAATTTGATTTAAAATAACAATAAACATAAAATATTAAAAAATGTTTTAATATAAATTTTATTTTTTATATATTTTAAATATATAATATTAATTTATAAATAATAATAAAAAATACTTATAATTTTAATTTTTTATGAAAAATTATATTTAAATATTAAATGTTTTAGTTTTTTAAAAATACTTTATATATTTATATTATCATTAAATTGAGGTTTTATAAAATTATAAAAAAACTTTTTTTTTTTATTAAATAATTATATGCAAATTTATATATATATATTTTTTACTTTTTAAATCTAATATTTTTTTTCTGTCTTTAAGCTAGCATAACTTATTATATAAGCGTAAAAAGCTAACTAGAAAAAACAAAAGAATATACATAAAAATATAGTATAATTAATCTACTATATCCAATAACTAAAACCAATAAAACAATAAAGGAAAAACTGATATTTTAAATGGCCTATATAAAAATATTTTCTTATAATTTTTATTAAATAAAATAAAATATTATTAAAAAGGTAAAAATCAAATAAAATTAAATGTAAAAAAATAATGATTTACCCTTATGAATCTATTTTATATTGAATTTATTTCCCATAATGTTAATGAGTTTTCAATATGAATCTAGTTATGCTATTTTTAATTATTAGATTGGTTGCTTTTAGTCTATTTAAGAGAAGTTTATTTGTTTTACTTGTTTTATATATTTATACCTTATTTAAAAAAAATAATTGTTTATGAAAAAAAAAGCCTTTTTTCATTTAAATTTATTTTTATAAGTTTGATAATTATTTAAATAAAGAAAAAACAATATAATATTTTAAGGATTTAATTAAAACAAAAATATATATTAGTTTTGATTAAAATTAATTTATTAAAATAAAAATTAAAATAATTATTTATTCAAAATATTTGTTTATAATTTCTAAATAAATTTTACTATATAAATTTATTAGAAATGATAAAGTGAAAACTTTAAATATAAAACAAAATAATATAATAATATTCATTTTTTTAAAAATATTATATATTAATTAATAATATTTTTTTATATATATTTTAAATATTTTAAATTTTAATCTTAATTTTATATAAACAAATAAAAAATTTTTAATATATTTATTATTTAAAATAAATTCTAAATCTTATTATAGTTTAGTTTTTTATTTAATATTTTTCTTATAAAAATGTAGTATTATAGTTTTTCAAGTAAAAGAACATATAATAATATTTGAATATAAAAAATATATATCCAATTTTTCTAATCTAAATTGAAAAAGCTTCTTTTAAAATATAAGAAATTCTTATTTTTAAATAAATAAAAATAATATTTTATCATAATTTAGGAACTACTTGACTTTCCATTTTTTCCAACAATTCTGGATTAGCAGTCTATTAATCTCTCACCCATCCCTTATTTTAATTATATTTCTTATATATTCCCACTATACATGCTCCTCCTAATCCTAAATTGTGCTAAAGAGCAACTTAAGCGCCTTTAACTTATCTATTTTCCGCCATTCCTCTCAATTACCAACATAACTCAGCACATTAAGCCAATCCAGTAGCTCCTAAAGGATGTCCTTTAGAAATTAAACCACCTGAAGGATTAATAACAACTCTTCCTCCATATGTATTATCGCCTTTATCAATGAATTCAGCAGCTTTTCCTTCTGGGCAAAGTCCTAAAGCTTCATATGTGACTAATTCATTAGCACTAAAACAATCGTGTAATTCTACTACTTATAATTATTCAGGTTTTATTCCGGATTCTTGATAAACTTTTTATGCTGCTCTTTTTGACATATCAACTATTTTATGATTTTTTTTTCAAAATAATATATATAAATATAACATCCAGCTAAATTAATGAAGGATTTGTCTGAAAAAGTATTCGGATTATCTGTAGTCATAGTCATAGATAAGATTTCTACAGCCTAATCTTGTAAATTATTTTCCAAAATGAATTATTCGGAAACTATAATTGCCGCGGCGGCGCCATCTGAAGTCGGACAACATTATAATTTGGTCAAAGGATCATGTATTTTGGGCGATTTCATTATTTCTTCTAGTGTATATTTATCTCTGAATTAACTATAGGGATTATTTACACTATGCAAGTGATTTTTATATGCTATTTTGGCAAAATGTTCCAATTTTGTTCCATATCTATTTTTTATTTTTTAATTTAAAAAAAAAAATTAAACTTACTTTTGCATATGTTCTCTTCCTGCGTTTCCGAAAATTTAAGCAGCAAAAGGCATTTCGGTCATAGTTGCCCATTCACTTGTTTTTTACAAAAACTTTCCTAAAGGTTATTCCCTATCTTTATATTTTAAAGTAAGTGATCCCTTTTCCATTTTTTCAAATCCTAAGGCTAAACAGCAATCTTAAGCACCTCCTTGTATAAATTAATAAGCTAAATAAATTGCAGTTGAACCTGTAGCGCAATTATTATTTACATTATAAATGGGAATTCCAGTCATACCAACTTCATATAGGGCTTTTTGACCGCATGTTGAATCTCCATAAACGTAGCCAATAGTAGCAGATTGAATTTTGTTAAAATTTATATTTGCGTCACTTAAAGCACGGTTTATGGCTTATTTAGCCATTTGGGGATAGTCAGGATTATGGGGATTACCTGGTTTGATGAATTTAGTCATTCCAACTCCGACTACAAATACTCTTCTTTTTTGTTAATATGTTGACATTTTTTATTTTTATTTTTTTTATATTTTTATTTTTTTCCTTTTAAATATTTGATTGCTTATTTATGTAATTTGTAATTTGTAATTTATAAGATTCGTTCTATTTTTAATTCTTATATCGAAATATTAATTTAAAACATAAACTTGTTTTATTTATTCAAAAAAAAAAAAAAACATTTAATAAAGTAATAAAGTAAATATATATTATGTAAATTAATCAATTTTATAATAAAAAAAATTATAGTAAATAATTAAAAATTAATTTATACAGTTTAAATCTTAAGCTATATTAAAAATATATTTATTAGTATTTACGATAATTTCTAAAAAATAACTAATTTTATATAATTTAAAATATTCTTCATTATTTAAAGCTAAATGATTTCAACTTATTTATTGACTTAACATTTACTTAAATATATTTAATTATTTATTTTAAATGAAATTAATTTTTTTTATTAAAATATTAATTTACATTTAATAGGATTTTTTTAATAGATAGAATTAGTTTTTTAATTAATTTATATTTTATGGTTTTTCTCTTAATTAATTAAAAGCAAATCATCTTTATTTTATTTATTAAAGCCTTTTAAATAATTTTAAAGAGCCTTTTTGTAAATATTTTTTTTATGTTCATAATCTAATTTAATTAGCTTCTTTAATGTAAAAAAAAATATAAAAATATATAATTAAATACTTCTTTTTGATAATCATTTTCTTCTGAATTATTTCTTATGTGTATAGTCGTTTTTTTTTCCTTTTTTTTTCAAATATTATTTATTATCTTTATTTAAATTACATTTTTCAGGTCTTATGTTTTATTATTAAAAAATTTTTTGCCTTATTAATTTAAAATTTAAAATTTCATTTCATTTTTTTGTGATCTTTATTAAATAACTTAATTAGTTATTTTATTTTAAATTATATTTTTTTTTTACTAATTTATAGCTGAAAATTTATAAAAATATTATTATTTAAATGAATTTTTATTTAATTATTATTTATTCTTGTTTTAAATATTATATTATTATTTTAAATTATTTTATAAGCTTTTATCTTTTTATAAATTTTTATTTTCCTTTTATTATTAAAGCATATCAAAAATTATAGTTTTATCTATAAATTTATTTTATTTTATATTCTATATTTTATTTATAAATGTTTATTTTAAATTTTCGCTTCCATAAAGTTTTTAGGTTTATTCAATTTGCCAATCAATGAATTTTATTTTTTATATTAATTCATCTCTTTTTATCATTACTTTTTTTTATATTTCGTCATCTTAATTTTTTTTATTTTCTAAAAGGTTCTTTTATTCTAATGATTTTTATTATTTTTTTAGTTTATCTTTAAGTTATTATTTTTTTTATAAAAATAAATTATTATAGTCTTTATTAAATTATTTAAAATATAAATTGATATCATTTTCATTTATTTCATAATCATTGTTTTTTTCGATTTTTTATTTTTTATTTTATTCTTCTTTAGTCGAACTTTATGAAGATATAGGCAATTTTTTAGTACTTTTTTATTTTCTTTTATTTAATTTATTTTTAAAGAAAAAGAAAAAAAAATTAATAATATTTAATTTACATTACTTCTTCTTTATTTGAAATTATTTATACTGGACTAGTCTATTATTATTTGCATATTTTTTTCTCATTTTTTATATGATTAGAAAGAGACATATTTGATAACTCTAATTATTCGTTGATAACTTATATTTTTTAATTATTTTAAATTGTCTAAGTTTATTTATTGAAGCTTTTATTTATTTTTTTAAAAAAAAATATTGTACATTATTTATATAATTATATACTTTTCTTTTATAATTGAATCATTTATATTATTTATTGTAAAAGATTGTTCATTTTATTGAAGTGATTTTTACAAAATTTAAGTTTAGTCTTATTTTAAATTCCAATATTATTATGTTTAATAAAAATTATTTAATAAATTTTAGTTTTATTGAGTAAATGGACTTCTTGTTTAATAATAATTGTTATTTTTAATTTTTGTAGTAGTACTTTACGGATAAAATGTTACATAATTGAAACCTTATTTATGCTAATTTAAATTTATTTAGTGATTTTTTTCAAAGCTAATTTCCTTCATCTTCTATCTACTTTCTAAATACTATTTTTCATTAGTCTTAATATTATTTTAAATTAAATTGTTTTTATATTTTTGTAGATAAGTCTCTGCAATATTATTCTAGCTTAAGCTTGCTTATATTTAAGTTTTGGCTTAATTTTGTATTAAACTATTTTAACAATTTATTTTATTTGCAAAATTATTGACTAATCTATTATTATAGGGATAATTATTTTATTCGCCTAAAATACTTAAATTGTTTATAATTGCATAACTAGTATTTTATGGAATATATTTTAAAGATTATTATCTTTTATAAATTACATTATTAATACTTGCATTAATAAAACTTGGTTTATATATTATGTATTTTTATTATGGGATAACTTTTAAAAATGTATTATATGCTTAATTAGGTTTATCTAGTATTATTGTTAAAGACTATTATCTTTTATTGTTCATTTAATTTATTTTTTTTGTATTCAAATAATTATTTTTTTCAATTAATTTATATTATTTTTTTCGTTAATTTTATTTTTTGATAAAAAAATAAATTAAAATTATTTTAATTATTAGAAAAATATTTATATAGTAAATACTTTCTGAATTTTTTTGAATTAAAGAAGAATTGAAATAAAGTATTAGAATTATTAATTTAAAATAGTAATTAAAAATGCAAAATAATTATATATATATTTATATTTACTGAAAATATTTATTTAAATAATTATAAATTAAATTAAATTTTTTTATCAATAAATTACATTTCTATATTTTATTTTAAAAAAATTAAAATAAAATTTTTTCTTATTAATAAATGATACACAATTTTTTTTTTTTTTAAATAATTAAATTAAAAATACTTTATTTTATTAATATATAAATTTATTTCAATATTTTTTTTATTCTAATTTTGTACTCTTAATAATTTAATACTAGCCACTTAATATTTTTCTTTATCAATTATTATTAAAATTTAGGCGCATTCATTAATATATTAAGCATGATAAATTCAAATTATTTTAACGATTATTCTTCATATTTAAAATTAAATTTTAGATTATCAGTCCAAATCACTTATTTGTTAACAATAAAATCAAAGCAACCTTTATTGATTCAGAAAATGGAATAATTTTAATTTCCATAAAACTTAATTCCAATATATATATATAAACCCAAAACACAATCGAATTTTTTTTTTCAGTCAAATCTAAAATGCAATATCTTTATAAAAATCTATGTGCCGAAAGAACAGTCATATCAAATTTAAAGTTTTTAATATTTACCCTACCATATGAAGTGTTTCAATTTTATTATATGCTTCTTGTGTTATATCTAGAAAATCTTTAAGTGGAGGATATATTTTTACGTATTTTACAGCAATAAATAGATATACGATTTCTACTAATTAAAGCTTATTTGATTAATTGTATGATATGTTAATTATCCGAAAATCTACCAATTAAGTTTACTGCCATAAATATTGTTTGGGGGAAGTAAGCAAAACTTTTAGTAATCCTAAACTATCGAATCTATTAAAATAGTTTTCATTTTCTGATTTATAAATTAATGTTTTTCAATCTAATTATGTATTCTAGAAACTTTTCTTGAATTTTTTTTTATTTTAAAATAAATAAAAATATTTATCTTTACAGTAAATATTTATTTTAGTGTATATAAATGAGAATGTGGAAGGTTTAGAAATAAGTTTAAAGAAATAATAATTATTTAGCCAGGTTCTTAATTTTACTTTTATTCAAATTGTATTTTGATAAGTTTTATTGTATTTTAATCATATTATAATTATTTTTAGAGTTTTTAATATCTTATTTAAATAATTATTATATTTTAGATATTAATATGTAACTAAAATCATTATAAAGTATTGTCTTTTTTTGATTAAGATTTTATATTATGGTTATTATTTTGTTATAACTGTTTACATATATGATTAAAATATTTATTAGTATACTGCTATTAATTTTTATCTATATAAATAATTTTTTTTTAAATTATATTTTATTTTATTTATAGTAAAATAATTCTAAAGTTTTTAAATTCATGTTTATTAATATAAAAAAAATATTAATATATGCATATAAATAAAATTTTATTATGGATAATTTAAAAAAGATTTTATTATAAAAAATAATAATATGATTCAAATTATAATATATATTTATAAAATTTACTAAATTTATTGGAATCTACTCTGATTAATACTTTCATTCTAAACTTATTTGATAATTAATACTTTCAATATTATGTATTTTTATATATTTAAATATACCTAATTTAAGTTTATTGGTTCTATAATTTAATATTATAACTGTTAGTTATTGCAAAATAAATAAATGTTTTTAAAAATGAAAATAATATTTAAATATTTATTCTTGTGGATTTCCTATTTATACTTAATTTTGTTTACTTTATTTAAAAGAAAAAACTAACAAACCGAATTTAGCTCAGTTGGAAGAGCATCGGACTGTAAAGTTATGTAGTCATCCGGTGGTCCCCGGTTCGAACCCGGGAATTCGGATTTTTTGTTTAATTTAAAATTAGATAAATAACTAATAATAATTAAAATATTGACACATATACTATTAAAATAATACAATGTAAATAATTTTATCTTATTTTTAAACTTTTTCGCATATTTAAATCGCTTTTTTTCTTCTATTTTTAAGAAAAAAATATAATATAAAAAATAACATATATTTAACATTTATAAAATTATTTATTTATAATTAAATAAAATATTAATTTTTTAAAAAAATAAAAATTTTTAATTTTATTTAAAAAAAAATATATATATATAAAAGCAATTCATTAATAAAATAAATAAAAAATAAGTGAATAAATTATAAAAATCATATATTTATAGCTTGAAGTATCTAAGGTCTCATTTATTAAGTAAAAGTTAACCATTATTCAAGTTATACTTCGTTTCCATCTCCAACACCAAACATTTTTAAAAATTAAAAGATTTTATCAACTTTCTCATCAAGTTCTTATTGATTAATTTGAATATGATTTTTAGAAAGTGCATTAACCAAGTCTAAAACATCACTTTTTTTTACTATTTTATCTTAATTTACATCGAATAAATCATAAACAAATTTAGAAGTTTTCTTAAACATAACTTTGTCTTTCAAAAGAACATTAGAAACATTTTTACTAAATTATTCTTAGGATTCTTTCATTTTGTAACCCAAACTAGCTTCTTTCATTAATAATTGTTACAATTAAGATTTATTAATATCTTATCCTTTCGAAAATTCTTTAAATTTTCCTAAATAATGATCTCTATCTTATTTGTCTCTGTACAATTTATCGACTACCTACTCATATTCTTGTTAAGTTATTTTTCCATTTGAGTTCACATCAAATAAGTTGAACACAAAATCTAAGCTGACTTTCATTACATGTTAAATCGCTTGGGATTAATCGAGCTTTTTTTAGTCAAAAGCTGTCGAAAAGAATAAATTATTGTGCTTTTTTAATAGATCTATAGCAAACAATGAGAATTGTTTCTTAGAAAAATTAGGGCTATGTTTTTTAAAAAGAGCTTGGTAATCAGGTTCTTAAGATTAAGTGTAAATTAAAAATACACAAGAAGATGCTAATGCAACAATTAAAAATATAAGAAGGAATTTTTGAGAGTATTTTTAAAACATATTTTTCTTATTTTTTTTAATTTAGTTAATTGTAAAATATTATTTTTTATTTATTTTTTCAAAGATTTATATAAGAAAATTTTTTAATTTATTTTATTTTTAGTTTTATTTGAATTTTAAATCTTAAAATATTATTCAATTTTTTAAAATGCTAAAGTTTATTTTAAAAATTAGTTAATAAAATATATATTTAAAATATAAAGCTGAAAACATATGATAAAGTGAACTAAAAATCTAATATTTATGATTATATATTTAAAATTAAATAATTTTAATTCTTTAATGTAATATTTTTTATTTTTTATAATATTTATTCATTATAATTGTTTTATATTTATAAAATATATGTAACGAAAAATAAAAATGTGTATTGATTTTATTAATATAAGAAATATATAATATTTAAAATAAAATATAAAAATGGTTAATATCAATTTAAAATTTGCATTAATTATTTTTAAAAATATATTATATTATATTTTTTAAAAATAAGAAGTTTTGTTATATATTTAAAAAAAATTTTAAATTAAATAAAAATAAATATAAATTATAATATTAATTAATTTATAAAATATTATTATTTTTTTATACATAATTAATTAATTGATTAAATTATTAAACTTAATTTATTAAGTAAAATTAATCAATATAAAAAAATTTTAAGCTTAATAAATTAATAATAATATTGTACTTTTTTTAAATTTAAAAATTATAAATTTATATCTAAATAAGAAAACACAAATGTATTCTTATTTTTATTTTATTTTTTTAATTTAAACGAAATCAAAATATAAATTATTAAATAAAAATATTAAGTAATTAATAAAATATAATAATGGAATTAAAATAAATATTCATTTCTATAAAAATAAGAAGCAATTTAATATATATAAAAATAAGACAAAATTACAATAAATTAAATATGGTTTTTATTGATTATATTTTTTTTAAAAAAAAAAGACAAAATTATCTTTATATTATTAATTTATCCTGTATGATTTTTTTTAATAATAATTTAAATATATATGGAATGTATTAAAATAAAATGTACAAATATTATATAATATTAATTTCTTAAAAAAAAAAAAAAAAAAATTATAAATAAAAAAGAAATACGATTGCTTAAAATAAAAAAATCAAAATTATAATTTTATACATCCACTTTCTTTAGGAAATAAAACAAAATAAAATTTTAACATATTTAATATAAATGTCATAAAAATCAATTTGCGAAGTTGAAAAAAATGGCGGAAATAAATTCCTTATAAAGGCTGTTCCAATAGAAATGGAAAAAGAAGATAATAAATAATCTGAAAAAAATAGATACTCTTAAGATCATAATCGTAAAAAATATATGGTAATAACTAAGGAAATAAGACAATAGTTTATACAAAAAGTGGCATCTAAATAAGTAACTATACGTGAAGCTGCGAAATAATTTGGATTAAAGTTTTCCACATCTAAAGCGATATTATAAATATATAAAAAAGAAGGGAGAATCGGCAAAAAGAAAACTCGATAAAGAAAAAGTTCTGTTAATAAAATCTAAAGTTCTGTAAATAAAATTTAAGATATTTATAGTAATAATAATAAAAATTAAAACAATGTTAACAATAATATTATGTATATTAATAATGAAAATAAGAACTAAATTGGGTCTACTTGTGTATATTAATTATAAAATGGTTTTTATAACACATTATAATAATAGTAAATAAAATAGCTTTAATTTGAATAATTTAAATAGATGTAATATTAATAGTTGTTTAACCTTAATCATGATGATATTTAAAAATATATAGACTTTTTATAAGGTTTATAAAGCCAAATTAAGTTGTAGTAATAAATGTAATAATTAGATCTTAATTATGGCTTTTATGAAATTTAGAAACATATTCCTAATTAACATTTGAATCAATTAATTAAAAATGAACAAATTAAATGATTTTTAGGGATAATTTTCTATTTTTTATATTCCAAAATAAAAATTATTAAATATTATATATTATTATATTTTTTCTTTTAATTCTTAAACATTATTTTTTATTAATAAAACTTATTTAAAAAATATTATAATTTTTATCCTATTTTCTTTAATTTATAATTTAATATTATTATTGGAAGAAATAAATGAATTATAAAAAAAAATAAGTTTATTTCAGTATTAAATCAGATGAAGATTAAATTTATTAAAGAATAAGAAGAGAAAATTAAATAGAAAATTGTTAAAATTATTTCTAAAATATTTTTTTATTCATATAAAAAACATAAATAGGGGAAATAGATGATGGTATATAGCTTTTAAAACGACGATTTAATAAGTTAATGAAAGAATCACAAATAACATTTAAATGTTTATTTAGAAAAATTGATAAAGATAATTAAGGTTTTATATCATATAGTAATTTTAAATATTCTTTAAAAACATTAATTTAATGCTCTTTTGCTGATGATTTAGATTTAATTGCATATATATTTGAAGAAATAGATATAAAGAAATTAAATAAATTAGATGAAGATGATTTCTATTATTTTATTTATAATTAACATAAAATATAATTAAATGTTGAAAAGTTAATTAAATAATTAAAAAATTCACCTAATATTTCTCAAATAATGCGTGATTTTCCTAAAAGAGCTGATGTTTAGGAATTTCAAAAAGCCCTTTTTTAATTTAAATTTTAAGAACAGGAAATTCATGTAACTTTTGTTATATAATAAAAATAAAAATAATAAATAGGAATTATTCGATCATTTGAATTCAAAAAAATAAGAAAAAATAGAAAAAACCTTATTTATAAATTTAATAAAGGAAGATCATTTAAGATTCGATAACATAATAAGTTAAATAATATCTCATATGACAAAAAATAAATTAGGAAGTAGAGATTTTTTTTATAAATATTGTAATTCAGTATACTAAATAAACATTTAATAATTCGAATAATTAATAAAAGACATAGGATTTAATTATAAATATGATTAAATCGAAGAAAGTTTTGAAATGTTCGATAAAGATAATAACGGAGGAATTTCTTTTGAAGAATTTGAATAAATTATTACTGAAAAAAAGCCATTAAGTACTTCTAAAAATATAAAGGATTATTTAAGAAATATAAGAAGGTAAACTATTTTGAAAGGAATTGATTTAGAAGGATAAATGAACGTTTTTTTATAAAAAAATAAACATAATTTGCTTTTTTGTGACTTTTTGAAATGCTTGAAAAAATCTTTTGTGAATTTAAAATTTTTCGAAGTTGATGTTGTTTATAATTTTTATTTTGATAAAAATTAAAACAATTTTAAAATTAATGAATTTTTTAAAGACCTTCTTTTGTTAAAAATAGATCTTTCTTTACTAAAATAAACCTTTTGGAATATTTAGGAAAAACATAACATTTCTTATGAGCATATTTATTATAAATTCTGTTAATATTAGATGAAATTCGAAAATTTTTAGCAATTTTTGTACTCTATTAATATTCTTTTATCCCCTGAGGAATCTTCGGAAGTTTTTTAAGTCTTTAACAAATCAAATAGTGGTCAAATTACATTAGAAGAGTTTATTAATGTATTTCAGAATCCGAATTTTGTTCATGAAATTTATATTCGAAATATGTATAATTTTAATTTTAATGAACCTTTTGAAAGAAAGAGAATCGTTTTTAAAGAACATAAAAAAAAGAAGAAAAAAGATCAAGAAAAACTAGAATTATATTCTTCTTATTTTAAGGAAAAAAAAAAATTTGAAAGGGTAAAAAAATACGTTATTTTTATTTAAGATTTGCCTCCTTTGGAAAATATATTAGATTTTATAATTTTTCATGTTCAAAAATATGAAAATGAAGACGAAAAAGGAATTGATTTTTTTGATTTAATGGCTTAATTTGATTAATAAGGCAATCTATGTTTTACCTCAGTTGAATAATTTTAATAGGCTCTTTAAAAAATCAATATTTTTTTGCATTTTGAAGCTGTGGAACAATATTATAATTATTTAGTTGATGAAAACGGAAACTTCTTATGCTTTTATTTACTTTCGGCGATTTATTAGCCTTTTTATTTATTTAAAAAATTGGTTTTTTATTTCATGTAGAGGAATAAATTAGATTTAAGAGAATTTTTGCTTAAATTTGTACAAATTAATGATTTATTTTTTAATATTCATTAGGTGATAATTATTCCAAATTATATTGCAAAGTTTTTAGAAATATTTTTCTTTAATTATAACTAAGTTTAAATTTAAGAAATTTACAATTTATTAATTTAAGATTAAAAAAAGAATAATTTTCTTTAATTTTGCTTTAATTTATAAATTGAAATTTGTTTATCTTTTAAAAATATTTAATAATTAGTTTAATTCAGTGTTTTATAATAAATTTTGAATGATTTTTGTTATTAGCTTATTAGATAAAGTTATAATAAAAATATTGACATATTTCTTTTATTTATAAAAGTCGAAAATGATTTTAAACTATATTTCGAATCGCCTTCTTAATTATAAAAAATTGCTAATATGTTAGAGGTATATTTATTTATAATAATATATATATATATATATATATATATATATAATTTGTCAAATCATTTCTGCAATTTTTATCAAAAAAATAAAAAAACAATTTTTTTAATTTTCTCAAATCATTTTTTTTTGATTGAGATTTTTTTAAAATAAATAATATAAATATTAAAAATACCTAAAAAATAAAGGTTAGAAATGAATAAAATGAAATATAATTAATTTTTAAATATTTATCTGAAAATAATCTTAATGAAAATTAAGTAGGAGTTATGCCTTATTTTTAGATTATATAGAAATGTTGTACTTCTAATGATTATTTGAAAATATTTATTTTATTATATTTATATGTTGAAGAACTTGATTTATAAACTTTTTTTAAAAAAATTAATTAAGATTAACATAAAGAATAATAAATATCACTTAAAGATTTTTAAAATTTATTTTCTTTTTTAAATATTTATGAAATTGATAATGAAATTTAATATTGCTTTAAAAAATTTTCCAATAATAAACCTTATATAAATATTTAAGATTTGTCAGACATATTATAAATAGAATCGAATGTTAAAGTTAACGATTATTAAAATGTATTTTTAAATAACATTATTGCTAATTATAATAAAGCTTCGGTAAATATACATAATTTACCTAAAATAAGTGATTTTAATTAGAAACCTAAAATTATAGTCTGAATTTTCGAAATAATTTATATAAACTTAATTAAAAATATGTTAAATATCAATTTACTTATAATAATTTATATTAATAAATTTAATTATTAATTTTAATATGTATATATATATACATTAAAAAAAAGAATATTATCTCATAAACTATATCTGTATTTTTATCGTTATTTTAATTACATTTACATGATAAATAATTGTAAATATTCTTACTAGCCTTTATTATTATTCTTCTATATATTTTTCAATAAGATTCCAAACTATACACTTTATTTATTAAATAAAATGATTTCTAAATTGATTTCAATGTTTTATTTTAAAAATTACTATAATTATTAATTAAATTAAAAGATTTGTTTATTATATTAAATCTTATTCTTTTATATCAATATTTTCTTAAATTATTCTAATACATTATCTTTATTTTTAATTAACTTTTAGACTCTATTTACATCTTAAAAATTTGAATGGCGGTATACTATTCATTAGTTAAAAATTGCTAAGTATACATTTTAGTATGTAATATATATATATATATTTATTTAACTGTTCGCAGACTAATCTATTTGTAAATATTTTCTTCTTCTGACATATTGAATTAATTTTTTTTAATTAATAACAAAAGTATTAAAAAAATATTAAAATTACAGCATTGTATATATCCTTCTTATTTTATTTATTTTTTTATACAATTTTATAAATGTTTTTTATAATATTCTTTTAAAAAAATCTTTTATATATCTTATATTTAAGTCTAAGCAGCTATCCTTCCAAATTAAAAAAACAAAAACCCGTAAACTAATCCAAAATTTCAATTATATTGGAAATTAAATTTATATTAAATCTATAAACCGTTATTTTAATTATTGTTTACACTTTTGATTTAGTCTTTATTCTTTTAATAATTATCTAAACTTTAATTTAAGTGAGCATCCGTAAAAAAATAACATTATATTATTCTTTAGTTAAAATAAGTTTAATTATCATTTTCATATAATTGCATTTTTTTTCTTTTATTTTTTCATAGTCTTTTATAGAGTTTACATCTATAAGTATTTAAAAAGAAATAAAACTTTACTTTAATATTAAAAATATATAATAAATTTGTTTTAAGATAATTTTATTTTGGTTGTACTTCATTTTTGAAATATAAAAAAAGTAGGTATAATAAATATGCTAAAGTTAATAAAATTACTAAAAAGATATAATTCATCATATTATTGTTTGATTTTTATATTTAGTTCATTCCTAAATTTTAATTAAAACACTTTTATAAATAAATTGAATTTCTTAGTAATTTTGTTTAATGCTTTTAACATTTATAATTAAAAAAATATTAAATTATTTATATTTTATATCTACACAAATTAAAATTTATATACAGATAATTTATTAAAAATGCAAAAATTTTAATATACTTTTATGTCAATTTATTTGGTTTATAATTTTAAATTTCATACAATTAAAATTAATAAAGAAATAATTAAATTATAAAATAAAATATATAAATGCTTGATATATATATAAGAAAAAAATAAATACAGCTTAAATATTGAGTGTATATTTATTTAAAGAATAAAAAATAAAATATTAAAAATTACTTTAAATAAAAAAATAAAAAAAAATCAATAATCTTCTTTAATCCACTCTAAAAGTTCCGGAACAAAATAAGTAATTATTATATTAATCCCAGCCCTCTAAAAGCATCTCATATTTTCCAAAACAACTTTCTTTTTATCACAAGCCCCCCTTTCAGCCGCAAAGCAAATCATCGAATATTCCCCACTAACATGATAGCAAGCCATAATTGGATTAAATTTATCTTTAATTGCTCTAGCTACATCTAAATAGCTAGAAATAGGTTTCACCATGATAAAATCTGCTCCTTCTTCTAAATCCCTTTACACAGCCTTCAAAGCCAATTCAATACTATCACAAGGCAATTAATATGCTTGTCTATCTGATTTTCCAGGAGCTGATTTACATGCATCCCTAAAAGGCCCGTAAAAGCTAGAAGCAAATTTCGCTGAATATGACATTATTGGAATTTCTAAACCTCTTTTTAATAACTCGTATTTTATAGTGGCTATTCTACCATCCATCATATCGCTTGGAGCAATTACTTATGCTCCACTTTCTACATAAGAAACACTTATTTCTGCTAATCTTTGGATAGATTTTCCATTATCTATTAGACCATCTTCTTTTAAGATACCACAATGACCATGAGAAGTAAAAGCACATAAACATACGTCGACGATTAAAAGGAGATCAGGAAAAGCTTATTTTATATATTCTAAGGCTAAATGAGTTGGTCCTTTTTTACCACATCCTCCTGCATATGTACCGACTGAGTCTTTATCGCTGTCATTTGTCAGAATCCCGAATATTATTATGGATTTTAATCCCTATTAAATAAGTATATATTTTTATTATTATATTTTTTACTTTAGCTATTAATGGCTCGAGGTGGGTAATTATATTTTTATATCCATATCTTTTTATGCCAGGCATTGTTTTTATTTCTTATTCAATATCTGGCTCATCAAGGACGAAGATTGGATAAACTAAATTATGTGCTGTAAGGATATTTTTGTACCAATTTCTACAGGCTTAAAATTTATATGCAGAATGAATAAAATGGTTTTATGGGATATTATAATTTGAATTCATTAATTTTTTATTTTTTAATAATACTATTAATATCTATTTTTTTAAAAAAAATAAAAAATATCATAATTAATAAAATAAATATTATGAGACTTTAAAAAATTTATACAAATCTTTTATTATTAAACTAAAAAAGTTAATTTAATATGATGTTTGTATAATTTTTGTTATTATTAAGGAATAAGTTTTAATGAATTTGAGTGATAATATTAAGATATTTTAAATTTATCTTATTTTGACATGTTTTGGCTGTATTTATTTTTAAAGTAAAATTATGAGGACTAACTAGTTTTTTTATTAGTTTGGTTTGTATTTTATTAATTATGTAACCCTATATATAAAAAATTATTTTTGATTAAAAAATTAATAGATAATAAATAGAATACGAGTGTCCTTATCAGAACTTTGATTTAATTTACTTGCTTTCTTTTTGATAGTATAGGCACTATTGTGATTAAAAATATAGAAAATTAAATAGCTGTTTTATAATATGATTATGTATCAGGATTAGCTATAATTAGATTTTTTATGAGAACTAGGACAATTTTAATTAAAATGTGTATGAATTTATTTATTCTTTTCTAGTAATTATAGCAATTAAATTTTCTAATAATTTTTATTTTGCACAAAATTTATATGCTAAAGTTGTATTAGGAAAAACTTCAGAGATATGCTCTTTTAGTTATATTTAAATTGTAATTAGTCTTTATTTTGATGTTTTATTATTTAATAAATTATTAAATTATATTAGTGTATTAGGCTCATGCTTAATTTTATTGAGTATTACAAAAAAATAAAAATAAAAAATATATTATTTATTTTTAATAGTTTTTAAACAATTATATATATAAAATAATTTATTTATTCATAATTATTATAATAATCTTACAATTATTTATTAAAGAATGAAAAAAATAATATTAAATAATCTAAATAATCTTAATATTTAATAAATTGCATATTCTAATCGATTATCGATTTTTTTTTATTCAATATTAAATTATATATTCCATAAAAAAAAAACATTAATAAAAACTTTATTTTTAAATTAAATAACTTTAAAAATAAAATAAAATATAATAAATAAGTAAAATGCAAAATTAATCAAATGAAATGATTTTAAATTTTATGACACAACCTCAAAGTGCCGATAATTCATTAAATCCCGAAGAACAAAAAGCTGCAGAACGAGAATATACAAAAACAGATAGATACGATCAATTATTTGAATAATAAATAGAACTATAAAAATAAGTTGCAGTGAACCCATGTTTAAGGTATGTAACATAGGAATAATGTAACGCTTTTTAAAAGAAATTAGATAATAAATATATATAAAAAATATGGAAATCTTTTAGAGAAAGTGGAGAAGTGGATAAAGGAAAAATTTCAAAGCAATCATTCAAAAAAGTATTTATGACAATAGATGATAAAGTAAATGAAAATTTATTAGATTGCATATTCGAAAGTAAAAAATAAAAAAAAAATATAATTTATAAAAAATTAGGATTCAAGGATCTCGCTTATGATTAATAAATTGATATATAAGATTTGGTAATTTCATTAACTATTTTAGCTAGAATGGATGAAAATTAAAAACTTAGATGTTTTTTTATTATATATAAAAATTATTTATTTATTTAAAAATAGTAATATTTACTTTAGCAGATGTAGATGAAGATGAATGTCTTTCTACAGATGATATAAAAAAAATGATATTAAGAATTGAAAGAAATTTTGTAAAAGAATAAGCACATATAAATAATTAAAGTACATGCTTATTTTAAGAATATGCTTTAAATAAATCGTAAAGAAGGTATGAATGGACTATTCATAAAATGGGTTAATAAGCAGAAGCTTCTAAAGAGAAATAAAAAGAAGATAATAAACTTATTACTTGGGACGAATTTATTAATTGCTTAGATAATAAATAACCTTTGAAAAATTCTTTTTTACCAGCAAATTATTTATTATATAATGTTTTAGTAAGTAAAATTAATTTTTATTATATTATAATATATAAAAAAGAAAAATGTAAACACAGAAAAAACATATTTAATTAGTGATAGTAATTTTTAAGATTTTGAAATGTTTAGAAAATAAATACATTTTTAGTTAAGAAATTTCTATGAAACAGATTATACTTAATAATATCCTATAATAGAAAATGGAATTCGTTTTCCAGGAAAAGTCAAAAATGATATTGGAAAAGCATCTTAGAATTTCTAAAAAATAAATGGTAGAAACATGTTGGTTGAAAATTCTAAAAAAATAAAAAACGATATTCAAAAGTCTTAAAAAAATGTTATTGAAGAAAGACTAAAACAAATGGATTTAGATGATGGATTTGGATAGAAATTTAATATATCAACAGAAAATTCTAATAACGTTAAAAAATTCAGTAAATTTTTATTTTATATATGATATATTTAAAATATTTTTCTTAGCTCAAATCTTAGAAGAAATGAGAAATATGAAAGATGATCCTGTTCATATAGGTTAATGATTTTTAAACATAATTTATATTATTTATTAATAACTATTTATATTTATATATGTAAATTTAAAATTTAATATATGTAATTATTGATAAAATTTATATAATATTTTTTAATAAAATTAGATTATTCTACCTTATTTATATTTAATATTATTAATATATATGTAATTCAATATATAAATTTATTTGTGTATACGCAGAGTCATATAATGAATAGTAATTTTTATATGTTAGATTAATAATAATGATTAAAACATAAATTTATTAATTATTCTATATTCAATACAAAAATAATTTTTTTATTATATAAAAAATTAAATAATAGCTTTTTTTCTAGTCAATAAATAGCAAGATTCTTAAATTTTTATTTATTCCAAAATATGTAAAAATGATTATTTTTAAAAAATCTATGAGAAAGACAATATACATTCAGAAGTTTTACAAATTAATGATTTATTACATAAAGAGGATTTGAAATATTAACATTCAAAGATTATTTATGAAAAATTTAAAATAAATATTGAACTAATTGATATTATATTTGATGAATAAGAAAATTACAATTTTAAATTAAGTTATCAATGATAACTTTAATAATTCAAAATAATTAATTCCTTTAATGGATTATTTAATAATTATTAAGATAATAAAAATTATTGTTTAGATAAATAGTTTAAAATAATCTTAATTTAATTATTATTTATATTAAGGATAAAATATTAAAAATCAAAGTTTATAATTTTAAAAATATAATCATATTTAAAATCAAGTTTAGAAAAATATATAATGTTTATAAAATTATATTGAAGAAAAATATAAATAGGTAAAAACTATATAAAATATATTTGAAATAACAATTATACATTAATTTAACTTTGGAGTATGTTAAAAATAAAATAAAAGTGTTTTATTAACTATTTATATAAATTGGCAAATATATTGTATCAATAATACTGAATATAACCACATAAATTTATTAAGTAAATAATAATAAGCTTTAAATAGCTATTATTTAAAAAATATATTTTATAGGTATCACCTAAAACACAGAGTAAAATTATATTTTAGATAATAATTTAATTATGTATATATTTTATGGAATATATGAATTATAGAGAATTAGTTTGGATTTATAAAATTTAGTTAAAAATAATCAGATTTTTGTTTCTTTTAGTTTTATTATTATAATAATTTAGAATTTTTATAATTATATGAAGAGAAATAAATAAAAATTATTATCTAATATATATATAAAATATAAATATGGGTTCTAAAAGAAAAATATTTTAATTATATATTATTATTTTTTTAAATAAATTTCTATCGTCAACATATAAGCAACTCTATAAAATTTAAATATTTTGTTAATTATATAATATTTAATTCATATTATAAAGTTAATATTCAAACATTTCTGTAATTTATCTATATAGCAAAGCATTTTATTTTAAACAAAATATCAAGTTAGCTAATATTTTGATGTTAACGATATATGATTTTTTTGTTTAATTCATTTTAATACAGGACAATCTTTCTAAATAAACTCTAATTCTTATAAAGTAAAATTTTTTTGTAATTATGACTTTTCATGACTTTATAAAGCCTCAATTAGAATCTAAACTACATATTTATCATTTATAATACATGCATGTTCACATTTATCAAGACTTGCCCCTTCTTCACATTCGCATTTAAGTCCCTAATAAGAGTTTTTAGAGTAAAATCTTTCGCCTTCAGAAGTTTAATTATCATAAACAGCCATTGACTAATTATAGCTTGAGCAATAATTAACTAATTTAATAGGCTTAGCTCCTATTGTAGAATTATTTTAAAATTCAAAAGACCATTTAAAGCAGGCAATAAAGCTGAAAAGATGGTACAATACCATCTCCATTTGTCATTTCAGTTTTATCAGGAAAATAGAAATTATTCGTTTTATTTTGTACATCTCTTGTATTTAAATTATATTCGAATTTTTTTGGTGTATTTGCATGACTTGCGAATATAATTGCAGTTGGAACTTAAGGATTTTTCAAGTTATTTAGTCCTTCGGATTTTAAAGATTCTTCATATATATTAATCCCTCTTTCGGTTTCAATTAATTGATAATTGTTAATATATTCTTAAATATCTTTTTAAATTAAAAAAAAATCTTTTTAGTTTATTTTCAAAAAAGGTTCTTCTAATTAATTTAAAAGTCCTGTGAAGCAATTATAATTTCCTTCTCTGTCTTTAAAGTTAGTATTATTGAAGCAAATCTAATCTTTATTAGGGAAAATATCTCCAAAAGGAATTTTATTGCCAAATTCATTTTGATTTGAAGATTTTTCATATTAAATTCTTCTTTTAATTTCCTCCAACCACTATTCTTTTTCAAATTTTTCGAAAATGTTTTTCGGAATCATATCATCAGTACTTGAAAAAGCCGAAATTTATAGTTAGTTATAATAATTAATTCCCACATATTTTCCAAAGAAGCTCTTTATGGAACTTTAATCTCCTCCAAGTCTTCCTAGCATAGTTTTCAATGCCCCACTTATTGGGGGCCCAACAAGGAAAAGCTACTTAATATGTTTTTCTTTAAATTCCAAATCCATTCTGGAAAGACCTTCTGTAGTCAATAAAGCACCATATGAAAAACCTATTATTAGGGATTTTTTTCCACTTAGTTCATATAAATGTTCTAAAGCTTTTTTTAGTGTTTTTTTTACTATACTACTATTTTGTGCATTATATCGAAAATCATAAGGAAGAGCTTATTATGTGAGTCCGTTTTAGTATCCCATAGAGTCTAAAATTTAGAGTAAGTTTTAATAACCGAGAAGTGCACAAGAGAAAGATTTGGTAATATCTTATGAAAAGTCTTATATTCCATTTATGCCGCATTCACTGTTTTCTTTAGTTTCTTAAGTATCCCCTTCCCAGCTTACTCGAAGACCTTTTGGTGATTCAAGAGTTTTAGTTTCTTTGTTATATTTTAAGGATATTAAATTTCCAAAGCAATGGTTAGATTCGCCTGTTATAGGCATTGTGGGATCGAAAAATCCTCCTATCCATAATTTATATTCTTTGGCAGGCCTTTTTTGTAAGATGTTCCATTTATTACATGTAGACCAACCACAGCTGGCGAATATTTTCGGGTTTTCTTTCTAAAGGAGTTCGCAATTGATTTCTACGTAAAGGGCAACTTGGGAATATCCAGGAAGGAAAACTATTGGAGAGCAGGGGCCTTTTATAAATTCATCGTGTTATTCTTTTAAGGTTAATTTCAGTTTATCTTTTCCATTCAAGCAAAAGTTTTTATATTTTTCGGCAAGATATTTTATATCTTATTTAGAGTCGAAGATTTCTTTTAAATTTTGCTAAGAATTTTTTTGGAAATTATTTTTTATATGATTTTCAGTGTTATCATATATAATAATATATAAAGTAGATGATATTAATAATACTAAAGGTAATATGCATTTTAATTACATTTTTTCTTTTTTCTCTTTTTTTTTATATTTATTTTCTGGAAAAAAGTATATATTTTTTACGAATTTATTAACAGGAAGTATTTTTATTTTCTTTTAATATATAAAAAAAGTATTTTTTTATTTTATTTTTAACTTTTATTTACTTTTTTTATTAATATGGATTTTGTTAAATAAACTATTTATTTTATTTTAAATATTTTTATTTACGTTTCATAAATTATATGAATTTTTCTAGATATTTTATTTATTGAAAGTATTTATTTTGTTTTAAAAGTATGTACGAATATAAAACATTAGAAAAAAATTATTTAGCATAAATTAATTTCTATTTTTTTTTTTTTCTTATTTAAATTAAATATAAAAAAATTAAAAAACAAAATATTTTAAAGAAAAAAAAAAAATTAAATTCAATAAACTAATTAATTTCATGAATTTTATTATTTTTTTTTATTATTATTATTATCTTTATCTCCATCTTTTTTACATTCTGTGAGTATAACTTTAAAATCATTCATTATATTTCTAATTATTCTTAACTTAATTTCTGCTTTTTTGCATTTCTCTTCATAACTTTCCTCATTTTCTTATTTATTATCTTACTTATCTTTTTGAGTATTTTTCTTTTCTTTTTCAATAACTTTTTTATCTTTTCTTTTTTCCTTTTACAATTTTTAGCTTTCTTCAAAATTTTATCTTAATTTTTGCATTCCTTATATACATCTTTCATGTATATTATCAGCTGCAATCAATATTCTTCCTAAATTTAAATTTTTTTATCTAGATTTATTATTTGTATCTTCTATTTAATTTAAAATTTATATTTTTTCATTTTTCTTTTCCTTTATTTATTTACTTTATAATTATATTCTATTTTTAAAAAAATAAATACTTCTAATTTTTTAGATAATTCTTTAATATCATTACTACATTATAATATTTCCTAACTTTTTTCTTTTACAAATAATGCGGCAGTATGTTTTAAATCTTCTTTTTCTCTTTCTAATAATTTATGTTCCTTTAATAAATTTTCATTACTTACACTCAAAGTTTTGTATCTTACTAATATTTCAGATAAATCTTAAAATTAATCGCCATGAACTTTAATGACACTTTCGAGATATTCTTCATATTTTTTTAAAGAATTAACTTTTTATTCTAATTTCTATTGTTAATTTTATAATTCTTAATACTAATTTTCTAAATCATTTATTTCTTTTTCTTTTTATTCTTTTTACTTTGTTTCTTCTTAAAGTCTTTTTTCTGCGCGTAATTTTTTTGCTTCATTTTCTTAAAGAAATTTGCAAAAATTAATTAGTTCTGCTTATATAGCCATATCTTGTTCTCTTAAATCTTATTCTTGAATTTTAAATTATTCCTCTTTGCTATACATAAACATATATATTAATATTTTTATTATCAAAAAATAATATTATAATAAAATTTAACTTTTTATGTTCTATTTTTTATGATTTAAATTATTCGTGAATTTCATACATTTATCTTCTTTTTTCTAAAATTTTTGTTGCAGCTGATACATAATCATAATTTTCAATTTCTTAAAATTAAGTTTATTTTTTCATTTTTATTTAATATTGATTAAAAACCTATATTTATTTCTATTTTATTTATTTATTATAAAATATATATAAATAATATTTAACAATTAATATGATTATTAGATAATATTATTTATTAACGATTTTTTTTATGATTCAAGTATTTAATAAAATTGATAACATAAAAATTTATTCTATAACATTAAAAATATATTTTTATAATTGATTTATCCTTCCTTCAAGAATTTAATTTTATAAATAATATAAATAATAATAAATATTTATAAATATAATTATTAAATAAAGAAAAATATAATAAATATTAATAAATAAATATTTATTTAAATAATAATTTGTTAATAAATATATTTTGATAAAAACAAAATTATTATATTTAAAATTTATTATGAAAATATATATATCCATATATAAATAAAAATTAAAAATATAAAAAATAAAATTATGTATTAATTTTTTTTATATAATATAAACTTTATATATTTAAAATAAATAATAATTATTTTATATTAATAAATTAAATAAACACTGGAACCCAAAATACTATTAACAATTAAAAAAAAAACTACTCACAAAAAGTGTATATAAAAAAAAATTAATTAAATATACTCTTATGAAAATATTTAATTATCTAAATTATACATAATCTTGATAATTTAAAGCTATGATAAATATTTTATTTATATTTATATTTATTAAAACTAAAATAACAAAATGCATTTAGATATTTATTAAAGCTTTCTTAATTTTTGAAACATTATATAGCAAAAGGAAAAATAAAGCTATTTCTGAATAAATAAAAAAAAATGTATTAAGTAATGATTATTTTTGAACAAAATTATTTTATTAATATATCAAAACAAAAACTAGGATAAATAGAGTGTTATTATATATAAATATTCTAATTCTTTAATTTCTATATAAATAATTAAAAATGTTTATAAGTTTAAACAGTATTCAATATCTTTAAATAAGACCTCTATATTAAATAAATAAATAAATATATAAATAAAAAATTAATAAATAAATAAATAAATAAATAAATAAATAAGTAAATAAAAAATAAAAAATAAATATAAATATAATATTAATAAAAGTTAATATATTGATTATATACTTTTACTTGCAATGTATTAGTATTATTTTTTAAATATTTTAACTTAATTAAATAATACTTTTCATAATTTTAAATAGTATTAATATTTTTTATAAATTAATCATTTAATATTATTCATAACTTTATTACTTAAGTTAATATTTTTGTTATTTCTGATAAATCCTTATTCAATTTATATTAATGTTAAGGAAATAAATCATTATATATAATAATACATCTATAATTATACAAAATTATTTATTATGATCAACAATAACCTAATTTCTTTATTTTAATAATTAAAATAAAGCTAAAAAACTATGTTTATCATATAAGAGTAATTGCAAATAAATGAGTTCCTGTTTCTTTTCAATACGTTGTTTAAAAAGGCATTTTAGAAAAATAATCTCTAAAGTAAAAGCAAATTTATATAAAAAATATATTAAGCTTTTCTTAGGCTCAAAAACTTAAAATTAATCATTTCACAAAACTAAATAAATAAATTAGAAATAACCAATTTTTTAAAATTATATTTAAATTTTTTTTTCCCTTGACAAGTTTAAATTAAAACCTGCCCGAAATTACGCCATATACTAAACATTTATAATTTTAAAAATTACTATTTTTAAATATAAATATAATTTACTATTATCTTATACATTTAAGTAGCATAATAATGAAAGAAACAAAGCAAGCCCCTAGTAATCTCTGAAATAAAATCATATATAAATTTTAAATAAAATATGATGTAAAAGTATATGCACAATAGGCCTAGATTAAAATTAAATCCTAAAATTTAACTTCTATAGAATAAAATTACAAATATAGTAATAATTACAATAATTGCATGTGTTTATTAATTTATCTCGGTATATTCAATAATTAGGCTATGCTTATTATAATATTTATTAAAAAAGCCTAAATAAAACTAAGCAAGTATCTTTTTTATATAAACTCCAAAAAACAATTAGCATAAATTTAGAAAGTTTCAAGTTTTAAAATAAATTATTAAAAATAATATTTTTAGATAATTTAAATTTTTTATATTTAATATAAAGTAAATATTTTTAAATTATTTAATATTATGTTTTTAAGAGATTATTAGAAGAAAAAGAAAAATATTTACCAATTTAATAGATAAATAAAAATGAATGTAAAAACTTATTATTAATGTTTAGATTTAAAAAATACATATTTTAAATATATTATTAATATTTATATTTAGTATATTTAAAAAAGTTAATTAAATTAATTACTTTTTTATACAGTTTAAAGTATAAATTAATATCAAACAAAAAAATCGAACGAATTCAAAAGTCAAAACAATCTGAAATATAATGTTCATATATTCTAAAATTCACATTTTTTTTATTATATAATAAAAATTCTATTACTAAACATATGTGTTTATAAATATTATTAATATGCCATTTTTATTTTTAAATAAAAAAACTAAAACGATTCTATAATATTTAAGAATTAATTAAAATAATTATTTCAATTTTTTTTTTTTTATATTTTTTTTATTATTAAAAATTAAAATGAATAATATAAGCAACATATCTCGAAATTAATCAGATAATATAGATTTTATTTATGAAGATGATAAAATGAGTGAATCAGAAATAGATTTTTAGTTAAAAGAGTATTAAGAGACGACAAAAAACGAAAAACAATTAAAACATGAGTAAAAATTAAAGTAATAAAATATGTGCGAATGTAGTTTGTGTTAGAGAGAAAACAAAAGGTAATTTTTTTTACATTTAATTAATTCTCTTTTTAATATAATCAAAAAAAATAAATAGATTAGATGTGAATAACTTCAATTACAATTATGATGATTCTAGTATTGAAGAGCATTTAAATATAATAAATGACAAAAAAAAGTAATATAGATAAGAATATGTATATGAATAAGACAAACCTTTAGAAAAAGATTTAATTTTTATATTATCTAGGTTAAGTCCAACTAAAAAAAATATGAGAACATTAAGAATATTTGTTCCTGAAACGATTGCTTTTTAATAGGGCGAAGCAAAATTTATAGTATACACATAAAAAGATAAAACATTAAAATATATTAGAAATAAAGAAAGCTTGAATTAATAAGAACTACGAAAATTTATGAATAAAAAAAGGCTAAAATATAGATAATAAGGAGACTTATAAGAAGAAAGAAAATAAGGCCGATCGAAGGCAAAAACAATTAATAATAATATTAATCAAAATAATTAAGAATAAAATGGTTCTGAAATTGCAAAAGAAAGAGATACTAAAGAAGCTGTTTTAATAAGATATGAAATGGAACCAATATTAATAAATAAAAATTTAAAAGTTAATAGCATTAATAATAATAATATTTTAAATAATAACAATATTAATAATAATCCTAATTAACCTATAACTCAGAACCAAAACACTTATTATTAATAATTTTATCGAATTTTAAATGAATATGAATTTCTTAACGTTATGATGAAGAGGAAAATCGATCCTATATGGAATACAATATTTTATATATAAAATTATATCAAAACAAAGAAAAGATATGAATATATTAAATATAAATATCGATATGAAGTCGATTAGTCTGATATTTTGTTCAATAGGGCACTTATAGACGTTTAAATTTTAAATGGCGAAATTTCTTAAGCTTCATCTGACTACATAAAGCCTGAAGTTGAAATTGAATTCGAAGAAAAATTAATGAAAAGGTAATAAAGTAATTATGTAAAATATATGTGTTTTAAAATTTTTCATTTCATTGAATTGTGCTACAATACAAAAATTACTCGAATGAAAACGGAATGGCTCGAGGATGATTAAAAAAATATATTTTTGATGAATGTATACAAAATTAAACATTAGCCAAGAAATAAAAACTATATTTCCGCAGAAATGTAAATTAAGAAACTTGAATTAGAAGCTGAAAAAAGACTTACTAATAGCGATAATTTGGAATAGTAATATTTGATTGTACAAAAAAGGGAAATAATTCGAATTTTTTGTGATATTATTTTTAAAGAATATGAAAAGAATTATAAAGGCCTTTAAAAAGAAGACAAGTTAGTTTAAAAAGATGATATAAAGGCAAAAATAAAATAAAATTTAAAAAGAGTATATGAAGGTAAAAAATAAGATCAAAGCTTCGCCCTTAATTAAAATGTTTGTAAAAGTTTCCTATAAATAATAAATAGTCTCCAACCTGTAAAGGAATTAAAAAAATACATTTTCGAATAAGAATAGAAACCAGCTTAAACAAACAAAAGCTTTTATAAAAGCAAAATATTGTAAGGTAAAAATACAGCTTCGGAATATAAATTAAATATAGCTAGCGATTTTAATTTTAAAATTCCAAGAAATATCATAGATAAATAAAACAATTAGAAAATTCCGTTAAAATTAACTTATAAATTAAATAAAAATTAAAGCAACTTAAATGTTATTAGAATAGAAAATCGAATTTTTAAGTAACTTTATCTTTCACCTTTGTTTTCAAAAAGTAGGTTTGTTTAAAATTATCCTAGAATTTAAATTTAAGGTGATAAAAAAAGGACTTTACCCTATTATTTGTATTCATAAGAAGTAAATAAAATTAATGATTAAAAATTTTAAATGATGAACTTTAAAATGTTCAATTAAAATGAATGAAAACATTTTATTTATTAGTTTATTTTATTCTATAAATAAAAATAATACATATAATTTGATTGTTATATTATTTTAATAGAAATAATTATTAAATTATATTTTTTCACATTCTTCTGTTTGATTAGGCTTTTTCGTTTGTTTAAATAATAAATTTAAAATTTAAAAATATTAAAATTACCTGAATTTATTGATCTACCAGATTTTATTGATTGCTAAGAGTTTATATCTATAGAAGAAGGAGGCTTCGAAGGTAAAGTAAGCTTTTTTTCTTTCAAAACTTAATCTATAATTGCACTTAATTCAGGTATATCTTAAGAAAGTGTACTTTTTTAATTTTTTAATAAAACATTTTTTTATTTATTTATAATACTATAAACTAGAAATAAGTATTTTTGTTTTATTAACCTCAACATCATGATTAAGCTAAATAATATGAGGATTATTTTAATTCTATATATCAATACCTTTTTATTAGGTTTTTTATAAAGATCTGTCATAACCTTATTGTGCTCTTTAAATTTTTTGATATTATTCTTCAATATCTTTTTCATATTTATTCATCATTTATTTCGTTTATTATTATTTTTAAGTTAAAATTTACATCTATTTATTGTTAAATAAAAAATATTAAATAAAATACTTTATTTTAATATTCTTGTAATCTTCTTATGTCTTCTTCATATTCTTTTTATATTTTCTATAAAGCATCTCTTTTTTTAAATAAATTTTAAGAAGCAGCTCTACATTATTCTTCTAAAGCTTCAAGTTGTTCTTTATCCTGAGATGTTACTCCCTTTTGTTTTTATTTTATTTTTTAAAGAAAATAAATAATTTAATACTTTGTTTAAAAAGCTATCTCTATATTTGGAATTCCTGTTTTTTAAATGATTTAAAGTATTATCTAAGGCTTTTAATTCTTTTTCACTTTTAAGTATTTTTGCTAATTATTAATATAAAATAAATATTTTATAAATATTGTTAACCATTTAGTTCATCTCCTTTCCTTTGTAATTCTTCTCTTTCTTAAGCAGCTTTAATTACATAATAAGCTTAAGAATGTTCATGTACATTATCTATTTATCCATTAGCCCCTTAATTTCTTTATACCAGAGACTCGTATTTTATTTTGAGATTTTTAACTTTGTTTTTTCTTTCTGCTAATTCAACTGCAATTTTATGTCTTTCTTCTTCTGAAGATTTATGTTCAGTCATTAAAACATCTTTATGAACTTATATTTCTTTTTCTCTTTCTTGCATACTTTTTTAATTTTTTAACAAACAAACAAAAGTATATTCAATTTTTTATTTAAAAAAATACCTCATTTCAATTTAATAAACTTAATTTTCTAAATCAAAAACGTTATCAGTAGCTCCATTTAAATATTCTTGAATTTTTTTAATTTCTAATTTCATGGTATCATGTTATACTAGAACTTCTTCTTTTTATTTAATAATTTTATTCAAATCTTAATATGTCATATCATTTTCAAGAATTAATTCTTCAATTAAACATGAGTATTTTTTATTTTCTTATTCAATAGATTCCAACTTAAAAAAAATTAAAAATAAATAAATAAAAAAATAAAAAAATAAAAAAATTACTCTTTTCTTAATAGTTCTTATTTCATCATCAAGTTTTTTTAGAGATTCAACTAATTCTTTATTATTTCCCTAAACTTCATTGAAGTATTTTTCCGCCTATTCAATTTCATTTTCTAGATCTTTTTTTTCTTCCAAAGTACGTTCACCTTTGGCTCTTGCTACTTTTCTTTCCATTAACTAAATTTAGTACTCAGCATTATATAAAAGTTCTTATTATCTTTAGAATTCTTAATTTAATTTCGAAATATGTGCCTACAAATTTCTACAGGCGGCCATATTTCCTTAAATTTCTCCATAAGAGTTAGCTTCTTACTCCCTAAGCTTGAACAGTTCTTAACTATTTTTAAACAGTGTATCTTTTTGAGTTTTGATTTCTCTTTAGAGTTCATTTTTTTCCTTATCTAATTACTTATATTTTTATTCGGCTAAATTCCTATTGTTTTCATAAACTTAAGCCATTAATTATTCATTCTTGATTTTAACCTAATTATTTTAATACTTTTTCTAAGCAATATTAAGCCTTTACTTTTTAGATAAAAGTTCTTGATTCAAAATTGAAATTTTATTTCTTTTTTATTACAAACTCTAAGCAAATGCACTTACTTGATTTTTTAAAATTTCAACTTCAGCTTTTTTTTCAATAAGAATTTCATCAAGATTTTTATTATCTTAAATTTTTTGAATATTTACCCTTTCTTAAAATTCGTTCGCCATTTAAATTTTTTTATTGTTATCTACAGATTCTTTTAATATCGTCTTTTTTTCATCAAGTCCGTCTTTATTTTCTTTAATCTCCATTTTGATTCGGGCAAAGTTTTCTCCTTCATTTCTTATAGCAATATCTCTTTTTGAAATAATTTCAGTTACTTCTTGCCATTATAAAAATAGTTTATGTCTTTCGTTATGCTATTTTTTGAATTCATCTGCTGTTTTATCAAGTTCTATTTGAGCAGCTTAGGTTTCAGTTATTTCTTTCTCTAATTCTTGTTGTTTTTATCCAACTCCTTGTGTAAGTTTTTCAATAGCCAAATTAAGTTCCTTTATTTTAACTTCGTCTGCACGTTTATATTTTTCTAAAGTTAAATTATCTTCTTCTTTTTGGCGAGCGGCGAGTGCCCATTATTCTAACTCTTCCTAATTCCAATTCATTTCTAATTTGAATTAGTCCATTTTTTCATTTCCTCTAAAAATTTGGTTTTGGACATCATTTAGTTTCTCTTACTATTCAATTGTTCGCTTTTCTAAAATTTTTAATTCGCTTTATATTCTTCCTATTTATCTTTCAGTTATTTATTTCATATGATCTTCTGTTTCTATTTCTTTATTTTTTTCATCAATCTTATTTTTTGTTTAGTTGAATTTTTTGGTAATAATTTTTTATTTACTAATTTTTAGGTCGAAAGTAATTCTTATTGTACATTTTTTAAGTGTTCTTGTAATACTTTTGTTCTTTCAGATTTTTCTTCTATTTTATTTTGAATGTCTTTTATTAAGTTTCTTTTTTTATTAATCTCTTTTTTTTTTATTGTTAAATTAAAATGAAGGTTATATATTTTTTATTTTTTATTACAATTTCATTAAGCCTTTTATTTTATTCATTCGCATATTCAGGAAAATCATCTTCTTTTTCCTATTCATCTTCAATATTATTTTAATTTTATTAAATGTTATTTTCAAATGCTTCGTCTTATTCGAAATTTTCTTATTGTAAATTATTATTTTCTTCAAATTAATTGGAATAATTTTAGTTTTAGTTATCTGCAATTAAATAATCTTAATTCTCACTCATAGATTAATTATAATATATGTATTTTATTAAAATATGAGATTTTAAATAAAATGTTATATTATTAAATTTAAATAAAAATATTTATTTAAATAATTTTTTTTTTTTTTTTTTAAATATATATTAAATAAAGCATTTAATTTTATAAAGTCAATAAAAATTACTTTAAATATTAATTATATTGTTTATATTATCTAAAGTAAAAAATAATATAAAAAAAATTGTATATTTAAGATAATAGAATCTATTCAAATAAACATATATTTTTAATTCTTATTAAATAAAAAAAATAATTATTTTTATTTTATTTTGTTAAATTGATTATAACTCTTTTATTTTGTATTATTCTTTTTATAAAAACAAAATATATAATATGTTTATTTATATAATTAATTAATTGATAAAATTATATAATTTAATAGGTTTTTTCAAAAATGACGAGTAATTAAAAAGTTGATATAGAAGGTAGTTTATCTCTAAATATAAATGTTAATTAAACTAATAATTTAAATGAAAATAATGTATAACTTTTATAAGAAAAAAATAATTTATTCTTAAATGGTGACGAATTTAATAACCATAATTAAGATATATAAAATGATTTACCATTATAATTAGTTAATAATTATGATTTTAAATATTAGGATATTTATGAAAATATAAAAGATGTTTTAATAAAAAGCTAAATTGATTACCATTTAATGCAAACAAAATAGATATTAAAACTAGAAGATTTAGAAAACTATCATATATATGACTTTTTAAAAGATTATTGCAATCAAAAAGGCTAACCTAGCATAATAAAATTAAAATGTGGTCATTAATTTTGTATAAACTGTTTTATAATTTATCTATAGTAAAATTTAACTTGCTAAATATTTTAAGATATTTAAGAAAATAATGTGTTTTGTAATATTGATGATTTAAGTATATAATGTCCGAATAATTTTCTTAAAGACATAAAAGATAATGTAATTGGTGATACAATTAAACTATGCTAATCTTATATTAGTTTTGAAGACTTTAACAATACTAAAACAATTTCTAAAAATTGAAATAAATAATTACTTTAAATTAAATTCAATGAATAATTATAAAAAAAATAAAATATAATATATATTAAATATAAGATATTATTTATATATATAAAATTTAATATTTATTTATTATTTAAATTTAAATTATAATATTTTCTAAAAAATATTATTATTAATTATAAAAAAATGATTGAAGATTAATTAAAAGTAAAATATTTGATATAAAATATTAATGTATAAGCTAATTAATCTCTTTCGTTTCTTAAAACATAATGCATTAAATCTTAAACTGAAGTATAAATCGAAAATGCTAATGTAAATTTATAAATATGTTCGTGTAAAATAAATTAAATATAAGATAGAATTTAGCCATATAAGAGTATGAAAAAGCATAATTAAGATAGCAGCAAAAAGATGAAAAATAAAATAATTTTAAGAATTAATAAAATCAAGAGCAGATAAATATGCTCTGGAAAATAAAGAAAAAAAAAATTAAGAAGAAAAAATGAAAGTAATTATATATTTTAATTTTTTAAAAAATAAAATAGGAAGAAAAAAAAAAGTAGTTACTTTTAAAAAGCAAAAAGTATAGTTATTTATAAAAAAATGCTTAGAATAATTAAAAATTTACTTAAAATATATAACTATAAGATAATTAAAATAACTTAATTTAACAATAAAATTAAGAAAATATTTAATCAAATTTAAATTAATAGAACCTATAAACAAAATCTGAAAATGAAAAATAATTTTAATAATATAATATTTAAAATAGTTAAAATAATAAAGATAATTAGCAGTAAAATTAGGCTATAATAAATAATTGTAAAACTTTATAAGAAAATTAGATTATTATTAGAATTTAAGGTATATGTTAATTTCTTGATAAAATAAATAAGTAAAGATGATTACTAAAATTAAAATAAATTTATATAATTAATATTCATAAAAAATAAAAATGCTTATTTTAAAATTTTTTTGCTAACAATTTAATCTTAAAAGTTATAAATCTATAATATTATAATCTTAAATTCTATTTAACAAAATTGTAAAAAATGTTTCAAATAAAAGTATAATTTTAAAAAATATAGTTAATATTAAAATTATTCCTTAAGCTATTTTTTTTTACATGTATGTTCAAAATAATAAACATTTTTTTAAAAAAAAATAAGTATTGAATTTCAAATAGTTTTTATAATGGAAATATTTATAATTTTAATAAAATGATAATTTTTTATTTATATTAAAATAATTCAAAAGAGAATTTTATCATATACACTTCTCCATTCGTTCCATTCTTGAAGTTATAAAGTATTAAATTTAATTCTTTCTTCTTTTTCTTAATCTAAAAATTTTTAAATAAGTACTTATTTTTGAGGATGTTCTTCCAAAATCATCCCTTAATCATTTCTCCAAAATTATCCATCGTAAAACTAACCAAATTCAAGTAATTATCCTCTATTTTCAAACTGAATTTGTTTAATTTCTTCTTTAGTCAAATCTTTTTCAGTTCTAAATTCTATTTACTATGGTTCTTTACAAACTTTTTTTAACAAATCATATATAAGTTATTTATTTAAGTTTTTTCCCCCAAATAAAAATCCAAAATTTTAATCTGATTTTAAGCCATTATATTTAATATTCTTATATTCTTTATTGTTTATTTTTTCAATTATATTTTCGCATTTAATTCCTTTCATAGTCCTTTCTATAAAATAATTGCTATTTATAGTAATTTCTTCGATTCCATCCTATAACTTTCCTTCATATCTAACTATTCCTTAAATAAAATCGATTTTGGTTGCATTTTTGTCACTAATTACATTCTATATTTCAACCTTTTCTATTTTTTATATTTTAACTTTTGTTATAAATAAATATAAATTAAATACGTTTAAGTTTAATTATTTCTTTCATTAAAGGATCTTTTGTTTGCATATTTTCTTGTTAAAAAACTTAAATATGCTTCTATGCTTGACTAAAATCAGCTAAAACCTACTCTTATTCTTTCATAATTTTTATAAAAAATAAATCTCTCATCTTTTCTCTAATTAATGGTAGTTTAAAAGGTACAAAAATAACTTTTCTATCAAAAAGGCAATCTAAGTATACTTAGTTTTTATACCTACTTAATATATTTCCTTCAGTCATAAAATTGTTTGAATAAATTAAATCTTTAGCAAGACCTGGATTAAGAATATTGTTCATAATTTTGAATATGGAAGCATTTGGGACTATATTTTTTATTAATTTATTCGCTTTATTTACATCATCATCATAATTATTATATGTATCTAACATAATATATTATGTATAACCTTCAATACAATAAGATATTAAGTTTGGGATTAAATTTTTATTTGAATTTTGGTAAAAGTTATTCAAATTTATTTTCGAAATAACATTTCTAATATAAAAATTATTTTCTATTTTTTCACTTTTAGTAAAATATTCGAGTAGAATTTTAGTACTTAAAAAATAAGGGATACACATTAAAATAATATCACTTTTTTAAATTTTTTTTTCACTTGAAAATCTCAAGAAATTTGTCAAAAAAAACTTTTCATTAATTTCTTCATTAAATTCATTTATTTCCAATTTAAAAGTGTGTATTCTAATGCAAGTTTCTCCACCAAATCTACTCAAATTTTCACAAAATTTTCTTTTTCCTGAGCAATAAGGCCCATTAATTACAATGACTCCTATTTTTTCAAAATTTTTAGGTTAACTCTATAGTTATTCGTACATGTTTTTAAATGTAACTAACTTTAAGTCCTTCATATTGTTTAAAATCATTAATTATTTACTATCTAAGTATTCAATTAAGAATTTTTCATTTTAAATAGAATTCATTTGAATAAGTTATTTTTTATTCTCTTTTAAAATCTCTCTCTAAGCTAAATTAGATTCTTAGAAAATAGCAGGAATATCAGTTATATATTCATATTTAATATTACTATTATCAAAATAATTTTTTATTTTAAAAAAGACTTCTTATAATGCATTTCCTGTAAATTCTAAAGCTATTTAATGTTTATTTAATGCATTTAAACAAATATTTTAGTCCATATTGAATATTAGCCATGTATTTTATGTGTTTTAGGTGATTTTAAGTTATTACATTTTGTTAAAAAAAATAATAAACCATCCTATTTTTTCAGAATTAATTCTAAGGCCTTTTTCATGTAATACATAAGCACTTTCTATTATCGGAATATCAAATCCGTAATTTGAGAGTTTTCCACTATTTATAAATATTCTGTTTTTATTAAATTCATCTTTTTTTTTTTTTAATTTTTGTTTTTAATTTTTTTTTTACTTGTTAATTGAACACCTAATTGATCTAAAATTACACGCTTTTTCATTTTTTCAATTTTAATCGAATATTCATTAGAAGTGTTCCAAAAATCGAAATAAGGAATATTTTTTGTTAAGATTAAATAACATCCTTCTTATAAAATAAAAGATTCCCCAAAAACAATTGATCCAAGGTTTACATTTTAATAAATTAAGCTTTTTATATATCAAAATAAATATAAATAAAAAAAAGATTATGTATTTACCTTTAAATGTTGCTTAATGAAATTCTAAGTAGAAAAAAATAAGGAGTCAATTTAAAAGTAATTGTATCTTTAATATCAATAGGTACATTTTCACCAAAGGCATTAAAAGCTTTTAAAGTAATATTAACTTAAAGAGTATTTTATTTTTCACTTGTATTAAATCCATTAAAAACTCTATTTATTTTATTTTCAATATAATTGTGAACATACTCTTCAGTTAAATTTTTATAATCTTTCGTTATATATTACATGACTTCATTAAAGCCTACTACCAATCCTAAATAAAGATTAATTATATACTCTTCATCTTTAAAATTAACATTTTCACAATTTTCAATTTAATAATCTATATGAACATCTTCATCATTACTTATTATTATCAAATTTTTTTCAGATTGTACATTTTTTTTCAAAAAATAAGTTCGACATGCTCTCAAATTAGTTCTCAAATCATAATTTTCGATAATAAAATGAAAGGAAGAGGAATTTTCGTTATATTTAATTTCATTTAATTTTTAATTTTCATCATTTTTTAATTTATCATTTGTGTTTTTTCCAAAAAGAAATCCAGACTTCGGTAATGGATATTCTTCCTTTTACCTATTTTAAATGCATTTAGAAAACTCTTCTATTTCTTGTGTACTTTTAAATATTTCACCTAAAAAAGCTTCAGTAATTAATTATCTTTTATGTATTTTTGTGTCTCCTAATTAACCTGTAGCTGCTATAAAATGACCAGTCTTTTTTTTAAAAAAAATTAAAAAATATATTTAACTATTTATACTAATCTTTGAGAAACATCAAAAATTAATTTAGAAACATAAAATTTGTCAAAATTTTTATAAATTTAATTAATTCTTTATGCCAAATCTATAATTTCATGATTTAAAGAAAAAAATCCTACTCCTAATTCTATTTTTTTAATTATAAATATTTTTTATTTAATATTATTTACCTTATAAACCATAAGATTATACAAGTGGCCATTTTTCAATCCCTTGTAATTTTCCTTTATCTTTTTTTCCTAAAAGAATTCCAACACGTTTTACATCTTTCATTATTTTGAAAAAATATGTCACTTTTAATAATTCAAGTTCGTCTTTATCTTCATATTATTCTTAATTAGGGCATAATATATCCACATTTGGTATGCTATATATGAAGTTTTATAATTACTCTTAGCATTCTGGTTCTAAATAAATATGGACGGAACCTTTTTTTATTAAAATTATTATTTCATTATATATTGAGTTTAAATATTCGTTTTCTTCTATTTCTAAACCCGAATAACCTAATAAAAGCCAATTTGTTAATTTCAAATATTCTGTATTTTCACGAGAATCAGGGCCATTTATTAATAAGAATCCATCCAAGTTTTCCTTTATGCATAGCTTTTCTAATTTTTTTAAACGGAAAGTAAAATCAGAAACACTGTATTTAGGAATGTTATTTTGAATCTAAGCGTTTTAAAAAAAATTAAACATTTACTCTTTTTTTAAAAAAAAATTTAAAGATAAGATTTTTATTAATTATAATTATAATTGTTTATTTTTTTGATATTATTAAATAATTAATATTTTCTTTTTAATATTAAAGATAAAATAAATATATATAAATTAGTTAGATTTTTAAAAAATTTTAATTAAAAATTTTTGCAAAAAAAAAAAAAAAGATATTACATAAAATTTCATTATTTTTAAAACTAATAAACAATATTTATAATAACATAAAGTTAATTATATTTATAATAAAATTATGAAAATTAAAAGAATTTAAAAATATAATTTCTATTAAAAATACAATAAGTTTTATTTTATATTCATACATAATAATATTTTTTTATTCAATAATGTTAATATTTTTATTTTTACATGTTTCTTTTATTTTAAATTTAGTATTTTCAATTGATTTTAATTAATAAACAAAACTATTAATACATTTTAATTAATAATCAAAATATCTATTATTATAGCTAAAAAGAAACATATAAAATATTTTATATTATTCTTTCTAATTAATATGATTTTATATAAGAGATATTTTTTTTAAAAAAAAGGCCTATCAAGATTTAGACTTCTCAAGCCATACCTAAGTATATAACGAAAGGGACTATGTGTTTTCAACATAGTTTTACCGACAACAAAACATAATATATATTAAATAAATTTAAATATTAAAAAAATAATTTTTAAAATAAAAAACTTTCGTTACATTATTTACAATATATATATATTCTTTCTGTATTAGAATATATTAAAATGTTTGCAAACAATTTTAAAATATAAATATATATACTGTTTTATATATTTTTCTTGAAAAATTTATAGAAATAAAGTAAAATATATTTATTTTATTTTAAATAAAAAATTTATTTAAATTTTAAAAATCTAATAAAATTAAAAAATGAGCGACAAATAAAATCTAATATCAAATAAAAAATTAAATTTAAACGAAATTCTGCCTAAAGAAAAAGAGAACCTAAAAAATCCAAATTTAATATTTTCTAATTTAACTAAATTAATAATGTACATTAAAAATTTAAATGGTTAAAAAAGGGTATTAAATACAGACATATAAACTTATTAACCAAAAAGTAGTTAAGTTTGCTTTGTAATAAAAAAAGTAGAAAAATACATTTAAAATAATAATTAATACTTTACCAACCCTTAAAATTTTAATCTTTTTAGAATTTCTTTTCACATGACATTTAAACCTTTAATAGTTGGATTATTATATAATATTCTTTAAGCTTTTTTAAATATTTTATAAGTATTTACACTTGATAAATTAACAGATGCTTTAAAATAAGATTGGGAAAAAAAATATATAAATTTACTAATAGCTAGCTTGATTATTAGTTATATTATTTAAAATATACTTTATACATAATTCGATTGGATGGAATAAAAATGGAGTTAATCTATATAAGCAACTCTTTAATACCTTCTTTTTAAAAAATCTTTTAAAACTTAGATATTTACAAATGATTCCGAAAATAAAGAGAATTAATAAGGTAAAAAAAAAGAAAAAAATAATGAAAAAGAAGAAGAAATAAAAAAAAGCAAGTAATCAAAAGAGTAAGAAAGCCAATTGCCTGATATTAATAATTTAATTACTGTCGATGTAGGAGAATGTCTTACTTTTTTTTGGATTTTTTTAACATTTATAGTTGCATTGTTAAGATTAGCAATGACTTTGAGTATATTATATTATAAAGTTGGTAATTTAATGTTTTTGGGTCTATACATTATTTTAGGTGCTTTTTTCTTAAATTTGTTAATTTCAACATTTAGTATGTATTGCTATGGAAAAGTATATGAAGCGAAAGATGCACGAGTTTCTGTAAGCAAAGATGTAATTGAAGGAATTAAAAGTATTAAATATTTATGTTGGGAAGAAATTTTTTAGAAAAAAATATTTTAATTAAGAGGAGTAGAATTTAAATTTATTGTTTTCGCGAAAATTCTATAAGGTATATTTAATATTTTTTGGGGGTCTATAAGTTATATAATATTATGCATTTTGCTAACATAATATAATAATAAAGGAGACAATAAATTATAAGATTTTAATGTATTTACTATTATTGCGCTTTTCGGGTAATTAACTTTTCCGTTAGCAATTATTCCCTGGGCTTTAGGATTTTTTTTTAAAATAAAAGTCTCTTATGATAGAATTTAAAGATATTTGAATTAAAGGGAAATTAATATGAATAATATAATAACTTTTGAAAATAATAATAATAGAGTAAACTTTAATTATGAAAATGATTAAAATTCTATTTCTACTTAATTTAGTAAAGTTTCTGTTTAAATTAATAATTTATAGTTTACTTGGCCAAATAGATTTTTAAAATAAAAAGAAGAGAATTAAAATTAAGAATTAGAAATTAGTATTGAAAAAAAAGAAGAAATAAAAGATTAGCTTTTAAATAACTAAAATAATGAAAATGAATTAACTAATAATAATAATGAGTTTATCTTAAATGTAGACAATTTAGTTGTTTTTTAAAATACATTGAATATTGTAATTGGATAAATTGGTTGCGGAAAAAGTGCTTTATTAAATTGTATTTTAAATGAAATGGATTCAAAAAGCTAAAAAAGAAAAAATGATTAATCTTCGCTTTTATCTTTTTAAAAAAATTAAGATTAAGAAAAGCTATAAAATTTAAATTATAAAATTTAAATTAATGGAACATTAGCTTATGTGTCTTAAAACCATTGGCTTTAAGCTAAGACAATAAAAGAAAATATTTTATTTGGACAATATTTTGATCAAGATTGGTATAATTAATGTGTTGAAGTATGTGATCTACATATTGATTTTAGCTATTTCACAAAAAAAGACGAAAAAATACTATCTTCGGGAGGAAATAATTTGAGTGGAGGTTAAAAATAAAGAATTTGTATTTGTAGGGCTATATATTCGAATAGAGATATTTATATATTTGATGATATTTTTAGCAGCTTAGATGCCCATGTTGCTGAAAAAATATATTAAAAAGCAATAATTGGATTATTAATAAAAAAATTAAAAAAAACTGTGATTTTTGCTACTAGTCATTACGGAATTCTAAAAGATAGGCAGTTCATAAATTAAATTATATACATTTAAAATGCTTAAATTGTTCAAAACTAAAATTTGATTGAAGAATTTATTACTAATAGTATTTAAAATGAAATAGAAAAATAATAATATGAAAAATAATAACAACAAAAAATTATCTGTTATGATTAAAATGAGGAAAAAAATAATGATAATAATGAATAAATTTAAATCATCAAAGATATAAAATCTTTTGAAAAACAAAAAATTTAGTAAAATAAAGAGGTAAAAGATGAAGATGAAAACTTTTAAAATGAGGAAGAAATAGAATTAGGAGGAATTAAATGGTTGACAATTAGGCAATACTTAAAATCAATGAACTATTTTATATTTTTCATATTTTTAATATCCTTTATTGCAAGTTAATCAAGTTAAATGCTCATTGATTTTTGGCTTAAAGACTATGTTTCTAAAGAATATCATTCTTACTTTTTTAAAAAATTGAATGAGTTATTTGATAATGATTTCAGTAGAATTTTTTTCTTTTTAATTGGATTAAATTTGATTTTTAATTTATTTAATAGTTTGTTATTTATAGTAGTTAATTTAATAAGTAGTTTTAGAATGTTTTAAAAATTAAATAAAAAAATTATTTTTAGCAAAATGAGCTTTTTTGATATGAATCCTTCTGGAAGAATAATTAATAGAATTTCAAGTGATATATAATAAATAGATGATGGTATCCCTTTCACATTCAATTAGTTTTTTTACCAATTAATTCTAGTTTCTATTTATCCTTTGGGTATTTTAATTAACTTTCCATGGATAGCTATTCCTTTTGTTTTTTGTGTTTGTATTATGTATTATTTCTTTTATCTTTTTAGATTTTCAAACAGAGAATTAAAAAGATTAAGTTAGGTCAATAATGGAAAATTAATGACTATAATTAATGAAAATTGTAGCGGATTAATAATTACAAGATCTTTTAATTAATAAAATTATATGATGAAGGATTATCTTTAAAAATTAGAAGATTATATTAATTCAACTTTGGTAACTAGAGCTATGCAATTATGGCTTTTGGTGAGAGTTTTAATTACTTCAAATATTATTTATATATTCGTTTGTGGAACATGTCTAGTTATTATTTATTTCGATATAAGTGTTGATTATAATATAATTGCTATGTGTTTGGCATATTCTATACTGTTTTCTGGAGGATTTTCTGAGCTACTTTACTTTTAGGCTTCTTTAGAGTAAAACCTTATTAGTGCGGAAAGGATAGTTTAATATTTTAAAAATAAAACAGAAAAAGTAAATGAAACCAATTAAAATAATGATAATTTGATTGAGGAATTAAGTGATGAAGAAAAACAAGAAAATTATAGTATTATATTTAAAGATTTATATATTACTTATGATGATATTATTAATGTCGAAAATTTTAATAAAGATTCAAAAGATGTCCATTTTGCTTTAAAAAATATCAATTTAAAAATAAAAAAAGGAGAAAAAATAGCTTTTTGTGGGAGAACAGGTTCTGGTAAAACTTCTATTCTGAATATAATTTTCGGTCTTTATCCGTTTTAATTTGGAAATGTTTTTATTGAAAACAAAAACATAAAACTTTTTTCATTGAAAGATCTAAGATAAAAAATGTCTATTATTCCCTAATTTGGCTTCCTTTATAATAACACTTTAAAGGATAATTTAGACCCTAGTGGATCTTTATTAAAAGAAGAGATTCAACAAAAAATGGATTCAACTAATTTAAGGATTAATAGATAAGATTAATAAAAGTAAAATCAAGAAGATAATGAATAAGTAGGTAATGATTTAAATTTTGTTATCGAAGATGGAGGTAAGAATTTATCTAATGGATAAAAATAAATTATTAATTTTTTAAGAATTGTTTTAAGAGATACTGATATTATATGCTTAGATGAGGCTACATCAAATATGGATCCTTAAACAGACTAAGAAATACATGATTAACTATTTAAACTATCAGAAAATAAAACTTTAATTGTAATAACACATAGACTTGAAAATATTGATAAATTTGATAGAATCGTTGTTTTGGATAATGGGAATATTATAGAATGTGGTAACATAAAAGAATTAAGATAAATTAATAATGGATTTTTTAATAAATAATTATAATAATAAAATTGATTATATTTTTTATATTTTAATTTATATTTATTTTTGTTTGTATATTTTTTGTTTATGAATAAACAAAAATACACAGTATTTTTATTTATATAAAAAAAAATGTTTAAAATAAGAAACTTTAAATAAAAAATATTTAAATTATAAATAATAAAATTTCTTTTATTAATTATATTTTTAAAAATAAAATTTGTTTTTAATAAAAAATTTATATATTTTTAAATAAAATATAATTAATTGATTTTTTGCATTTATAAATATTAAAATTTTTATATTAAATTTTAGATCAGAACATATATTTATATAAATTAAATTTAAATAATATTAATGAAAAAAATAAAATATTCATTATAAAATTAAATTTTAAAAAAAGATATTAATAAATTAATTTAACAAAAAATATTATATAATTAATTAAAAAATATAGATTAAAACTTAATTAAAAATAATTATAATAAAAATTTGATAATTGTAATTATATATGAATGTATGGTTGATATCGGGTTTTGGTTTATATAGGAGTTTGATTTGGGGTTTGTATTTAGGTTGGGGTTGGGGTTGGGGTTGGGGTTGGGGTTGGGGTTGGGGTTGGGGTTGGGGTTGGGGTTGGGGTTGGGGTAACTTCGTATAATGTATG